GGGACAACCATTTTTTTTTATATTCCTCTTATAAAGTTTGATATCGGAGCACTTTTGTTGTTGAAGGTTATATTACTTGACCTAAACTATTATTGTTATTCACCTTATATATTTTCTTCATAAGCCTGAAATCACCAAACTGGTCCATCAAGATTAATGGTACAACTATCAACTAAGAAAATGAAATCAAAAGGGATGAGGATGGTGCATTTATGTATTTATAGTTAGTCAATAACCTCATACATGAAGTTCTTATTAAGAATTCAGCACTTGTAGTCATTGTTTACTAAATCTAGTTTGGATGTTATTTGGGTGATAAACTGTGAAACTAACTTTTATATAATCCTGGATCTAAGCCTATTGGAAATGTTTATTAAAATATCAAGATAGTAATGGGACTTCAATTCATACTAGATGTTGAGTCTTCTAGCCACTATCAACCGTATAAATAAATAGTACTTGTATGTGCTACCGCCTTAATGGAGATTGTTGTATATTAAACCATTTATGCTTGCAATCAACTTGACCCTCTTGGCCTCATCACTTCTTTTCCCCTCTTTTGATATGTGATTCTGAGTGTTCATTACTTTTGTATTGTTTAAACCATCATCTTATCGGTAAGAAATATCACTGAATGATCTCATTGTTGATTACTGTCATTACACCTGGTATTTTAAATCTTATTTATGATCTTTCAGTTGCCTTTGATTATCTTATTCTCTGAATGTGGTCTTTGTGCCTTTCGTGCAGGAGGATGCTGACCTCATTGACAGGGATGACCAGCAAAAATTTCTGGCAAGTGCCGACTTTCTTGCCAATCATGGCTTGCCAAAATTAATTTCCGGTATGCAAACAGCAGCAACAGAAGTTTTGAGAGCGTAAGTGGTTCCCCAATTCCTTATCTTTTCTTTTTGGTTTATTATTGTTTGAATCAGCATTACCATAAGTAATAAGCTAGAGCAGGATTAGTTATGTAAATATTTTACTAAAGAACAATAGCCATAAATGAGAGAAGTATTTATATAGGCAACCCAAATTGGTTTTCGTGAACTGCATGCCAGCACCGTAACGGTTAACGACGGAAAAATGTTGATCAAAGGGTCACATTGGGTTTGTTTTCTGAGTTGGAAGGCCACATTAAGAGAAAAAATAATAATACTAGGGCCACATCATTTTTTTCCTGAAAGAACAGGAACCTTTGATGCCTTTTTGCCTAAAATAAATAGAACAAGTTTTTAAATGTAGGTTGTGTGACAGAAAAACTTCTGAGGCATAAAGCACATTGAAGGACTGAAAAAGTAATGACGATGACTTGTGTGACGTGCTTGATGCTTCTACTCCCAAAAGTAAATGACCAAACCTAATGTCCTTCAAAGCGTATTTCCGGAATTGTACAACGCTTGCCAGATTATGTGCTCTTCCCTGAGTTTATTTTATTACCCTTTTCATGAAGGGGTAATTAGATATCTTTTTATTACCCTTTTCACTAAGGTTTAATTAGATATGACATTCCCTGCTTACATACAAGCTCTATATGCTTATACTTTAGGATTCAGAAGATAGTACCACTATGAAACTTCTTGTTTTCCCCTGAAATCGATAAACTTGAATGCTTCACGAATGTTATCTTTGATTATCAAGGACATTGGGTGAACATTAAAGTCCCCTCACATGGCTTGGAAATTGAAATTTTTTTACTTTCTTGCAGAAAGCATTTGAGGGACTTCTTCAATACTGCTATACTTCATCAAACTATCATGCAAATACTTGACATGTTCCTTAGCACGGGAAGTCCTCATCAATGGGTGGACTGCTTGATGCCTGAGGACCCAAGATTGCACAAGCTTGCCAAAACATCCAGCAGTGATAAAACAAATCCTCCCAAGTTAACACAATTTGATCAACTTATGGTTGAGACACGAGAAGTAATTTCAAGGTATCATCAGTACATTGACCCAGAAAATATCGTTTTATTGTGTTTTTCGTTTAGCTATTTACAGTCTTTGAAGTGAACAAGGGGTGGTGTGGTCAATTGCATAACTCCATTCTGTCTCAAAAAGGCTTTAGCACCCGACAGCTTTTCCCTTATTTCTTGTAGTACGTTGAATAGTTGTCATTTAGACTTCGAAAAGCAAAAATTGATTATAAATGTTATCTGTGAACTATCTGTGTGCCTGCCAAATCTTAATCTCGTGCAGATAACTTTATGTGGTGTCAAAGTTTGAAATTCGTTCATTTTCGCGTTGCAGTGCTGAATTCGGTAACGTTGTTGAATTATCATTAAAAGCAGTGACGAAAGCGCTGGTGGAGAAGGGTTTTCGATCTGGAGGAAGCAGTCTAACGAATGGGATGCCTTTAGCTAGACTTTTGCCACGAATTGCACAGATATGTCCGTCTTTGGTCGAGGAACCGAGCAAAAACCTGTTCATCCAAATCATACAAAGTGTTCCAGAAGTCGGGCTCTTCTTCACTCTCCTCTATTCCAGTATGTCAGCCTCATAGAGACCATGTCTATGCTCTTAATTCACATTTGGCAGCTGCACCAATGCAAAGATCCCTCCCAATGGGGACAGGTTTGAGGTTCAAAATCAAGTTTGTATTTTTTGGGGCATAATGTTGGTAATCTAGTGATTTGATTGAAATGATGCTAAATAAAGCCCGAGATTGAAGTGCAGGGGCTTTACATTTTTCGTTTGTTATCTGCTTTGAAATTAGGGTAATACGTATTTAGTATCTAAATCATCAATTTTGATCCGTTTTATTATTTAAATTTTCAATTTTTCAAAATCATATCTAACGTTTAGTTATTGTTTTATTTTAGTATCTGTCATTAAAAAAGTTTAACATAATTTCTGCATATGATATTTTTAGGGTAAATTATATCATTCATCCCTTAACTATCTTCTCACTCTTATTTCGATCAATAAAGTTTTAAAATTTTCAATTTAAGTACTCAACTTTCAATTTTTTATGTTTTAATCACTCTAATTTATTTTTTAATAATATTTGTGACATGATATTTTTATTATTTTATTAATATATAATTAAAATAAAAAATAAACTTCAATGACCAAAACATGAGTGAGAAGATAATTGAGTGATGAATGGCGTAATTTATTGATAAAAAATGTCAAGTTGGTGATGTACTAAAATGAAATAAAAGTTAAATTTTAGGTATGATTTTTTAAAAAGTTAAAAAAAATAAATATTAAAATAAACTAAAAATGATAATTTAGATAATAAACTTCTAATTTTATAGGTAAGTCATGAAATCCAAACCGTCCATGGTTAACCTTGTACCGTGTTTTTCTATGAAACTTTTGAGGTTCAAAATACAATTTAGAGTGTGTTTAGTTGGGGGAATGTGAGATTCCCATGGGAATGAAATCCATATTCCCCCGTTTGGTTGGCCGGAATGTCATTATCGGTAATCTTACATTATCAATAGAGGATTTTTGGGGTATATTACTGGGAATGTCATTACCTCTTTTTCCTTAGGTATTGTTGGATTACCGGCATTTGTACTAAAATGCCCTTAAATTTTTTTTTTCAAAAATATCATTATTCTATTATTGAATAATAAAAATTCGACAATGTTAAATTACAAATTTATCCTTAAACTATTTTAAATTTATAAAAAAGTCTATAATTAAAATTTTATATGAAGTTCAAGGTTAAAATAAAATTTTACCCTTTCATTAAACCTTTTTATATTTTCAATTTTGTAAAAAAAATATATAAATTTTATGAATTTAAATTTTTAAAGAAAATATATAAAATTTTTCAACTTGTTAAAAAAAACAAATATATAATAAGGACAATTTGGTCAAATATACATTCTAATAATTTTTTATTCCTTTAACCAAACACGATAATCTTACATTCCTGCTAAACCAACCAAACACAAAATACGACATTCTCAGTAATCTATTCCCTGGTAATCTTTTATTCCCACTGGTAATCTTACATTCTGTGAACCAAACGCACCCTTAAGATGTTTGAACATCACAGTGTAGTTGTATTATATCTTATTTTTTTTATTTTTTATTTTGCTGTGCAAATTATAAGGTTTTATAAGTTTAAAATTTAAAAAAATAATATTTGTTTTAAAAAATTAGCTATTGATAATTCACGTACCTTATATAAAATATATCCATTTGAACTTAAGAAAAATAACAATCTTTTTAATTATTGAAATCACTTAATATATTCTATAATTAATTTGGTATAATATTTAAATGGTGACGTTAAATTTTTAAAATTATGATCAACTTATAACTCGATTTCTCTCAAAAGAATAGTCATTTAATATTATTGAATCTCACACACTGGCGGATGCATGTATTAGGTTGGGCGTGCTCACCCTGAAATCCTATTTTTTTATGTTTTTATTTATTTTATTGATGTGTCAATCCTGAAATTCTATTGGTACCTACCTCATACATATTTGATTTTACTATCAGTACATATGTGCCTACCCTAAAAAAAGATTCTCTTTAACCAATGAGATCAATATTCTACAATTAATTTTTGTATAATGTTTAGATGTTGAGTGTTTAATTTTTTTAAATTAGAATCAACTTATAATAGTGTGTAATATAGTTAAAGTCTAAATTTGTTATTATGTCAATATTATCGAATCTCACATACTGATAGATGCATGTATATTTTAGGGTAGAAACATACATACTTTGAAATTCAAATATTTTTATGTTTGTTGTTCATTTTACTGACGTGCATCTCTCATAATTTTTTTATTATCGGTATATATGTGCTTACCCTGAAAAATATTTTTGGATCCGTCGTGGTATATTTCTTGATAACTTGGGATGAATTTGTAACTTTTTTATATTTAAGTGAATTAAATAAGATGTAGCTTATAATAGAGGTACTATTTGCATAATTTATTCTTTGATAAATTAGAGTTCAATATCCAGACGTTATGCATAAAGTTTCACACTTTGCTTCTGCGTTTGAAAATTGGTTGTAAGATCAGAAACGGGAAATTGCAGAAGACGAGAAAACCAAATTTTTGATTAACTGAAGAAAATATAATAAAAATGGCAGAAAATGATCAGTCGGAGAGAGTGGCGGATAGGTATCTGAAACGCGAGGTTCTTGGCGAAGGTACTTACGGTGTTGTGTACAAAGCCATTGATACGAAGGTAACCCTAATTCTCGAAATCTTTTTCCTCTTTTCTGATTGTAAGCATCTGATTGAATGTAGTAATTGAAGAAGAATGCTGGAAGTTGGAATGCTTTGCGTTGCACAAGATTATAATGTTAGTAATTGTTTTTGGTAGCCAATTGAGCATTTGGGAAGGTAGCGAAAACAATAGCATTAAGCATCTCTGGTTGCTAGATTAATTGTTGATCGACTGTTATGGGATTTGCTTTTTGTTGGTTCATTGCAGACGGGACAGACTGTTGCAATTAAGAAAATTCGTCTCGGGAAGCAGAAGGAAGGGGTTAATTTTACGGCACTCAGAGAAATTAAACTTCTTAAGGAGCTTAAAGATCCGAATATAATCGAGTTAACAGATGCATTCCCACTCAAAGGTAACTTGCATCTTGTGTTTGAGTTCATGGAGACCGACCTTGAAGCCGTTATCCGAGACCGGAATATTTTTCTCTCACCAGCTGACATCAAATCCTACTTTCAAATGACATTGAAAGGGCTTGCTTTTTGCCACAGAAAATGGGTTTTACATAGGTCTTATTTCTGTCTGCTCTTCCTCTACTTTAATGGTTGCTGCTTCTTAAATTGCTTGACTCTTAATTGTGCTTTACAGGGATATGAAGCCAAATAATTTGCTAATAGGACCCAATGGACAACTTAAACTTGCTGATTTTGGTTTAGCACGCGTATTTGGGAGTCCAGATCGCAGGTTTACTCACCAGGTAAGCTTATAGCTCCCAATAGGTGTGTTTTTTTGTATCTTTACATTGACTAATTGTTGCTTTGAGTAAAATATTAAATTAGTCTTTTCTTCAAAGAATAAACTTACCTAGTGGCATATCTTTGCTAACCTTTTGAGGAAGAATTGACCCTTGCAGCTGAAACTCTGCTTCTTTTCCCTTTAAGTATCATGTTTCTGTGGGAAAAGTCTCGAAACTGGGTTTATAACTTTTTGTGTCCGATTTTAGTTACCAGTTTTGTACATTTGGCTTTATTAGTTATGCATCCACTTGGTTTTGTACGCAAAACATGCATGCTGTTTTCCCAGTAAATATCCATTGATATTCTGTGATATATTCATAATTTGATATCTTTGATTTATCATTGATGAGTTAGTTTAGTATTTTATAGAAAACATGCAAATATAAGGTTTCATGGAGAGATGCAAACAATGCATCAAACAACAATGTGTTGCCTGATGAATTTTATGTTCCTTTTTTGTTTTTTCACATTCTATGTAATTAGCTTTTGATTTAGAAACACGTCTTTATTGTTATTTCAACATCTATTGTATCTCTCTTTGAGCAGTTGTATTTTTATGGAACTATAAATAGGTCTTTGCTCGATGGTACAGAGCTCCTGAGTTACTTTTTGGTGCCAAACAATATACTTCTGCCGTGGATGTTTGGGCTGTTGCCTGTGTATTTGCTGAACTTCTCCTACGACGACCATTTCTGCAGGTGAACCTAACTTCCTTCAGTGTTTTTAATGCATGTGATTTTTTTGGCGAGTTATTTCTTTGGTACAAAGCTCTGTACCTATATTCATCTATATAAAGTATGATACCTTATATATTTTCGCATTTTCATTGATTCAAAATTTAACATTTGATAGGGCACAAGTGACATTGATCAATTAGGAAAGATCTTTGCAGCTTTTGGTACACCAACATCTTCCCAATGGCCAGATATGGTATACCTTCCTGAGTATGTAGAATACCAATTTGTTCCTGCACCACCTTTGCGTTCATTGTTTCCGATGGCCAGTGGTGATGCTTTAGATCTGTTATCAAAAATGTTTACTTATGACCCAAAAGCTAGGATTTCAGTGCAACAAGCATTAGAGCACTGGTATGTAGATTCTGTCAATTAGAAATATGAGGACAAATGTGGTTTCTTTTTCTCATATTTTTTCTGTTCAGGTATTTTTCATCTGCACCTCTACCCACAGATCCAGCTAAGCTCCCTAGGCCTGCTCCTAAGTCGCGAGCACCAGATTTTAATCCCCAGGATGGTCCCACTGTCCTTTCTCCCCAACGAAAATCAAGGAGACTAATGGCAGGTCCCGAGAGGTTTGAAGGTAATTCCAACCAAGAGCAGAAGATCGTTGAGCGTGCTGGTGAAGTGGGACAGGCAGCTGGTGACATTGCAGGAAAGAATGAACAAGTGGCAATTTCCGTAGATTTTTCAATCTTTGGCGCAAAGCCTCAGAGTAGACCTACAATTAACAGGTAACAGCTATTGCATGATCATTTAATAATAGTTAGCATTCTAAGTGATTGAAATGTTCAACATGAGTGTGGAAATTAAACCTGGTAAGAATACTATTAAATAGAATCATTTTCGGTAGTCTTGGACAGAATAGTGACAGCCTGTTGCCCTGTTGAAATGGGTTAAAGCAATTATATTAAGCCTCTAGAGTTAAGTCTTAATCTAGGGTATGCTCTTTCTTGTTCTTATGCAATTCAAGAAGTTGTAGAACACCTTAAGCTCCTAATCATGTGAATTTATAAAGTACAAGCACTTTCCACTGTGTAGTAGTGAATCTTTCTCAAAGTGCTTAACGATCTTTCTAGATGGAATAAAAGAAGTTGAGCTCAATGGAAGGGTTTGAAAATTCTGCTACAAATTTTGTATAAGAAAAGCCCTAACGTTGGTATCCCTCTTTACATTCGAAACATTTTGAGAAGAATTTCACCATTGACATCCTTCACAAGAGATATCATGCGATGCTGTAAGGTTTCTTAAAAAAAAATGATATCATGCGATGCTGAGAGTCTCTTTTAGGGTGATGGGTCAGTGTTTTCAAGCCTGCTCTAAGCGCTAAAAGCCTAGAAGCATATATTGCCTCTGGCACAAGTAAAGAAATCACTTGAGTAAACTTAGGTGCAATATGTTTAGGTGTTTTTGCAAGCCTGTGCATGTGCATGTGTGTATATATAATAAAATGACTTACGGGTGAATTTTTTTTAGATGATCCTTGGGTCCTAGAGAACTTGATTTTATTTTTAAACTAGTTTAATTTATCTAGAAATAAACAATTACGACTTTGAGGAGAACTTCTATTGATTGGATGATGAGTTCGAAATTTACATAGTTCTCTAAATATCTTTAAAAGAAAATTATCAAAGAACATGTAATTTGTCAAAGTTGCTTTACATTCTATTTTCTAGTCTGGGAAAAGAGGGAGAGGGTTGGGTGGAAAAAGTAGAAACAATGGGAGGAGTTGGAAGAAAATGTGAGGTTACTGTGTTGGTTCTTTAACTATTCTTATTCAGTGCAGATAGGTCGCATCTGAAGAGGAAACTTGATCTTGAATTCCAGTACGATGAATAAGAAATGACGAATCCTTTGGAGGTTCTTAGTTAAATAACCACCCCAGGTGGCCTCCCATCTGCAACCTGGGTTTTATTTGATCATTGTCTTCCCCCTACACAAAACAAAGAAGCAGCTACCACCGAGGCCGAGGAATTTGTCTTTCAGAGGATTTTCCTCTGCCTTGCAAAATCTGTAAAGGAAGAAGCGAAAGGTGACTCCTTCAACATTTTGATGAATTCTGTATTATTATTAGCCCATAGAAGGTAAGAATTTTGAATATAACTTGTTCTTCAGTCTACATATAACTAAATGAGAAAAGAAAAAGGAATTTGCAGCTTAGATGGTTCCGGTTTATCTAAACTCGACTCAATCTCATCTCTTATTTGGTCAGTTGATTTTTCTCATCGAATGGTACTATCATATTGTTGTTTACATCATTGAATGTACATATTTAGATATGGTTCTGTTTATTCATATTATCTTTGCTATTTTCACACACATCATTATCAATATATTTTGATTTTGATAGCTTCGTTTGTTCATGTCATGTTTGTTTGTTTGCTTTTATGAAGCTGAATGTCGTGTCCAAAATTGTCAAGTTTGTACAAGTTATGGGTTTATTTATGGCAAAAGGTAACTTTTGCCCATGTAGTAGATTCAATTTATTATTTTCGTTCTTATCGTATTCTCGCATCAATATAACCCTCGAAGTTGTTCAATTACATCATTATATACCCTATCTAGGGATGGGCATGGAACCTGAACCCGACGGTTCCGACCCTATCGGGTCGGATTTTAAAAAAAACAAGTTCGGGTCGGGTCTTTTATGTGATGGTCGGATCGGGTTCATGTTTAGGGTGAAAAATACTCGACCCGGCCCGAATCGAAAAATATATATAATTCTACCTTAAATATTTAGGAATAATTACAATAATATCTCTCTATATATTATTTTTTTCCAATTAATTCACTGTTTTTATTGAATAAAAATATTTTTTTATTATTTCGGGTCGGGTCAGTCGGGTTTTTAAGTTATATATCGGGTTTGGGTTGGGTGAAAACTTGTTTTGGTCGGGTCGGGTCTCGGGTGGAGGACTCTTTGTTCTCGGATCGGGTCGGGTGGACCAAAAACCTGACCTATGCCCATCCCTAACCCTACCCCAAACTTAAAACTCTAAATTATAAGTACGTAATCATGCAATTAAACAATTTAAAGATTAAATTGATGCGAAAATACAATAGAGACGAAAATGATAAATTGAATCTATAGGGGTAAAGTTTACCCTCAAACCTCTATTTATTTATTTGAAATTAATTATGGGTTTATTGGTTGAATCTATTTTAAGATTTTTTTTTAATAAAAGATAAAATTTTGGCAATGAATCTTGAAATTGTTGTATTCTTATTGTTCTTTTTAAAATAATATGGTTATTAGACTTATACTGTACTCAATGTGATTGTTAAATTAAAAAATTAATTTATTAATCGTTAATTATTATGATGTTGATGTAATAATTTACGACGTTGACATGAAATTAAGGATAAATAATATAATGAATTGTAGACTTGTAGTTTATGCCGTTAGCTGATAATATTTTTAATAGTATAACTTAGGCGTAATTCAACAAATTCTTAATAAAATAAATTGAAGAAAATTATATGTTTACACCTATATCTTTCAAGTTGTTTCATTAATAAGAATATTAATTAAATTAAACCTTAAACATCATTAATAATTTTTTAACAGAATCCACTAATTTTATTTAAAATAGAAAACTGTCTCGAATTACAACAAGGATTTACAATCAGAATTGTAAATTAAACACATAATTAAGACAATTTCCTATAATAATTCAAACAAAACTAACAACTTAAAATCATAAGGATCGTACGAGGAAATATTAAGCATCTAACCGAGAAACTCGAACAAAGATAGATACAAATAAATCTGATTACATCTGCAAACGAATCACAAAAGGGGGTTGAGCTATTGAAAGACCACCGGCAAAATTGCAAATCAGACTCGAGCGATGTGAAAAGCTATCCACGAACACAAAACGATATCCAAATTCACTCGGAAGTCCAAAACATGAAAGATCAACAAGATATCAGATAAACGTGATCTTAATCATTCGTGACAATAAACATCAATAATAACTAAAACTGAGAATTTGGGAGCTATTTTATTAGCATATCGTTTATGTTGATGTGGATATTATTTAATCAACTAATAATTACACGATAAAATTGTTCAGAAAACAATAATTATATGAGAAATGAATGAATCGGGAGATAAAATGTTGAGGGTTAAAATGGTTCAAAACAAAAGAATAAGAGTCAAAATGATTATTTAGTCAAATGCCACGGGTCTTTTTTACCCTAAAATAAAATATCAGAACTAATATGTTCCAAAAAATAGGGCCTAAAATGACTATTTAAATAAACATTGGGAGTTCATTTTGACATTATGCCAAATCGAATTAGGGAATTAATGTGAATAATGTGTATGCAGCTTAATAATCATATACGCATTGATACAAGGGTTGAAATTCATAAATTTGAGCTTGTAAGGTCAAGTTCGAATCTAACATCGTCACTCTTGGTATACAATCTGTAAATTCTAATTGAGTATTAGGTATGCCCTGACCTAGATGGGGAGGCTCTTACCTAAACTTTTTTGATCCAAAAAAGCTTAATAATCATAAACATAGTTGATAAAATTTATCTAATTTAAACATTATATTAAAACAATACCATAAAAGTCATACAAACACAAATACATACATTAAAATACTTAAAAAGTGTCCAATGTAAATCAAAGATCAAACGGAACAACTTAAACAAAGGAATTAGGGTAAACTACAGAAATGGTCATTTTCGTTTGATTTCTATAATTTTTCACTAAATTCAAAAATATAAGATTTGATCACTTTCGTATCGTTTTAATTCAAATGTGATCACTGAAAGTTAACGCCGTCAAAACTTTAATGGTTTGCTAACGTGGTACGATAAATAGACAAAATTAAAATTTTATAATTTCCGCATATATAATATATGAATTAAGTTTTGGGCAATTTCCTTTATATTTGTACACTTTTGGTCACTTACGTTATCGTTTTATTAAGTTTTGATTTCTTAGACGTTGAATGTCGTTATTTTAATGACGTGACCTGTTAATAAAATTGTTTAATTTTTATTTTAAGCCCTACACTTTAGATAAATTACTGATTATGAGTCTTTTTGTAAATTCAAATTAGTTTGGGGACAACATTTCAATTTATCCATTTTTAATAGAGTTTTTTCCAACCACATTATTGTTCATCTTCCGCTACTTCTTTAGACGTCTCTACCCCATTGTTCCATTTGCCTTCTTTCAAGCATTCTACAATTCAAGAATAATGAAAGATTTACAACTTCCAATTACAAATAATAACACCACGAGTTCAGAGGAAAATGAGAGGGTAGGCATCTAGAGATAAAATGAAGCTGGGTAATCTTAGTTATACAAACTAAAATTCAATTTCCAATGATTGAGATTGCAGAATGTCAAATCGAACAAGGAACAATAAGACAAATCAATGAATCCAAATAACCCGATAATCGAATCTCATTCTTCATGGTGATTTGCCCTTGAGAAAGTGCCTTCGGTGAAAAACATAATCAATGGATCCAAACAACCCGATAACTGTATCCCTGAATTCATCCACTGAACTCAATCCAAAATCCATGATCTTCAACGTCGAATCTTTGTTTTGCTGAATAACAAGCAATTTTTCGATTCTAGATCCCGATAAATCACCATTAACCCATTCGACATGCAAATCTCTTTTTCCCACTAGAATTAGGGTTTTTGAATGAGGCTCTCAGTCGGGGTGTTTACTTTCGAAAATGAAAATAACTTGTTGCTGAGCTAACAAAAAAAATTCTAACCATTGAAATAAATTGGTTCGTACTGACAACATAAATTAATCGTACTTAGAAATCAAATCAGGTTCTTCAAATCAAATGTCTTAGTTTTAAGATTATTTTGATAAAGTCTAACTAATATTCCTGAAGAGTATTTTAATCATTTCTCAAAATCTTAGACTTTAAATTAAATTGACAAAAATTCAGAAGCGGACTTAAGAAAATAAATAAAATAAGTTTTATTGGACCTCCTCAAAATTTTTAACTTCTGTTTTTTTATTACACTTTGATCCCAACATTTTATTTTGGACAAAATACTTATAATTAAATGAAAGTAGTTAATTAATTATTAATGCTTCTTGCTGACGTGACATATCTACGAAGAGAAAAACAATAACATGACATACTATATATACTTTGAATTTAATCAAAAGAAAAATAGTAAAGCAAAAAGGTTGATGGGCCTAAAGACATTATGCCCAAATTTGATGGATTTCGATTTGATCTGACCCGACTAGGTCAATGCTTTAAAATAAAACTTAGGTTTAGGTCGGGTCAGGTTGGATTTTTTTATTTGAGTTCGGGTTTAAGGTGAAAAAAATCAATCGAAAAATGATATAAATTTACCTTATATATTTAAGGATTATTGCAATAATAATCATCTCTCTATATTTTTCAATTAGATCTTTATTTTTACGGAATAAAAATAATATTTTTTTATAAATATATTTATTTAAGGTCGGGTTGGGTTCGGGTATTATCTAAAAAATCGGGTATAGTTCGGATCGGGTGAAGTCACCCTTAAACTCTGGTCGAGTCGAGTTTCGAGCAGAGTGTATATACTTTCGGGTCGAGTCGGGTTGATCGAAAACCCGACCCAACCCTTCTCATGCACGTCCCCTAAACAAAATAAATACACACTAATCTCGTTTTGTAAAAAAGCATTAACCACATTAATTGCATCATTTAAAATTGCTGTTAACAACTTTAGTTAGCTCGTTGCTTTCAATGTTGAAAACTAGAATGGCCTGCACTTAGCTTCCATGGAAAGCAAATTGAACATCAATGAGAGGAAATGATTGCTGTCTACACAATCATCTCCACTTGTCCATTTCACTGTTTCCTTTGTGGACTGAACATTCTACGTCAATTCCGTCTCTTCAATTACCTGCATGTTAAAAAGCTTAAGCACTGGTATAAAGGAAGGGAATTGATATCAAAGAGATGAGTTGTGAGCAAGATGCATAATTTTAAAGAGAAGAGGTTAACATTTGGAGCACTCTTTGGAAGCTTGTTCATGGCATTATTCGCCATTCCTTTCGTCTTCAAGTTTTATTTCTGTAAGTTTTCTTCTTCGGATTTTATTTGAAATCGACATTTTTTTACAGTAACTTCATGGTGCAGTGCATGTTCAATCATCCATGGATGCTTCTGGATATCAAATTACAAAGGTCAAGGATCGTACAAGTCCTTTGCAGAAACTAGGTATGCTCAAACTCCCATTATCATCTTCAAGTTCGATTTCCAGTCAGCAATTTTGTGGTTTGTAACTATGTCTGACGTCTTGTTTTTTTGTCTGATTTTGAAGTTGGAGAGAGCTCATCAGCCGAGCCGATATGCAGTCCGTGCAACTACGAACCGATATCGAATTACTGCGATATCGATGGGGACGTTGAAGTTCAGGGGAACTCTTCCACTATATCTATTGTGGCAGGGAATATGTCTTGGACAGTAAAGCCTTATGTCAGGAAGGAAAACGCAGCAGCCATGGACCGTGTTAAGAGCTGGTCGGTAACCTCGAGGGGATTCGTTAACTGCGACGTTACTCAAAGTGTTCCGGCCATCCTTTTCTCACTCGGCGGATTTTCGGGAAACCATTTCCATGATTTCAGTGACCTTGTGATCCCACTGTACTTAACTTCTAAACAATTTAATGGACAAGTGCAGTTCCTTGTGACAGATAACAGGCCTTGGTGGATTACCAAGTTCGAAAGAATACTCCGAAATTTATCTCGATATGACATTATCGACATCGATCGAAAAGGGAAAACACATTGCTACCCGAGGATGATCGTCGGGCTTAAATATCACAAGGAACTTGGTATCAACCGATCCATGTCCCAAGACCAGCTATCAATGAAAGACTTCAGGCAGTTCTTGAGAAGAACCTACACATTGAAGAGGCAAAAAGTAATCAAGACACGGGCTGCTGCCGGTAAAAGGCCTCGGCTGCTGATCATAACCAGAAGAAGATCTCGATTGTTAACGAATACCGACAAAATAAAGAGAATGGCTATGAGCTTGGGGTACAATGTAGCAACAATAGAGCCTAATCTCTCGACCAGCTTGGCCAGTGTTGCACAAACAGTGAATTCTTGTGATGTGATGATGGGCATCCATGGAGCTGGACTAACAAACATGGTGTTCCTCCCCGATAACGCAATCGTAATCCAAGTAGTTCCTTTAGGATTCATCGATGGGTTGGCTAGAAAAGACTTTGCAGAGCCTGCCACGGATATGAAGTTAAGGTACTTGGAGTATAAAATAAGGGCAAAAGAGAGCACTCTAACGAGTAAGTATGATATGGACAATTTGATCATTAAAGACCCACTATCAGTTCATAAAAAGGGATGGGATGCAGTAAGGTCAACGTATTTGGATAAACAGAATGTGAAGCTTGACGTTGGGAGGTTTAGAGCTACATTGTTAAAAGCACTTCGGTTGCTTCATCACTGAATATATTATTGATGAAGTTAAAGTACTAAACGCGTAATTTACCCATGTATTATTGACGCTATTTCATCCAGAAAAATAAAAGACAGCACTTGTTTAACTTTGTCAAAGAATCACATTATTATGTGGCTTGTTCTTTGATGTGCTAATAATTCTTATGGTAACGTCAGACACTTGAATGACTCGAAAAAAAGTTTAGACACCTATTTAGAAAAATTGATATAGTTTGGACTCTTATTTTATAATTAAGCCTATTTATAGGCCCTAATTAAGTTTCCCTAAACTTGTTTATACCAAATTTCATTCAGATCGAACACAAAAATCCAACGCTCATTAGACCTGAAACATCCAGGCCCAACAACTTCACCCAGATCCATGTTTACCAGCCCTCATATATACATATACATATATATATATATATATATATATATATATATATATATATATATATATATATATATATATATATATATATGAAAATCCATTTTAAAAACACAATTTTAAGAGCTTGTCTTTAAAGTTATAATGGAAAAGTTGGATTAGAGAATCGGTTACACGTGGAGAAGGTTAGGTCGTTCTACACACCTAAAATCGATACCTTATTAGTTATGTCTTATTCCAATTTTTAAAAGTTACGAACTTAAATTTAAGTTGAAAAATGTGATTCACTGAATATGAATATAAAAACTAAACATTATATGTGGTTTTAAAAAAATTAAAAGTTTGGATATTAAAACGAATTAAAACATATAATTTAGGTGCTAAATGTGTAATTTACCCTAATTTTCTTTTCAACATGAAAAAGTTTACTTTTTTATTATATTATTAATTCAAATGGAAACCGTGTATTCTTCATAAAGGGACAAGAATCTATATGTATGCCTACGTGTGTGTTTGTGTAGGTATCAAATAAGGCCCATCATGCATCCCCCGACTAAGCAGACAAAGATTGTTAAGATGTCTTATTCTACACAGCACAACGTGCTTAGATGCACAACTTTTTTTAATTAATTATTGGTATTCGATTAATTGATCGATAAGTTTAGATCGGATTTTATAAAGATTCATTATGAAACAATTACTTCAACTCAGTGTGCTTCATACATAAACATCAAAATTCGAACATCTGAACTTACTTAAGGAATCTAGCGTTTTATCCCAGATGCACTCTTTTAAGTACATCAAAAACAATTCACGAACAAACCTCCCAACGTCTACCCATTGTCATATAATATCCCAAAATCCCTTTGATTCCCCAAAACTCTAATGATCTTCACCATGACACGAATTCTGAAAATACAAAGAGTTTGAAACAAAATTCAAAATTTGATAAAACACTCGAATTCCAAAAAAAAATTCAATTTTTCATATCGACAAATAAGTTTTTCACTTTTAGAACATATTATTTACTTTCACGAAATCTCTTAAAGGGTATTCTTCAACAATGGCTGTCAACCGAATCCAAGCCTTTCTCGAACTTGGATGTACAAGATAATTTAAGTCTTTACGTCGATAAAGTAATTATGAATGTCAATGTCACACATAATCGTATCATACACAACGTAATCCTGATCATCAACGATAATTCTATCTTTTCGTTATTGATCTTTAGTAACGATACATACATTAATTTCATTACAATAAATTATTTGAACAAAATCAACTAGTGTCATTAATATTCCCTTCTAATATTAACATATGTGGGTTTTCCTAAGAAAAATGAGACATTGTTAAACTGTCCCATTCTTACAAAACCACCAAGTCTTTGGGTTCCTCTTAATTAATTGATCAATTAATAAGAATAGTTGGCCGATGGATCATCCTACCAGTTTGGTTTGACCAAAAAGTAAAATTGAAATTTAATTAATTTATTTTATACCAAATTATTTTACTGCAGATGATTTAATAGATCAAATAGTATTAATATTATCATATATAATCCACCTATCAAACATGATTTTCAAAAATCCAAAGAAAAATACATGTACCAAAAAAGAAATTATTCAATATATATATATATATTGAAATTTAATCAAGAATGATCTTATAAGTAGGGATGGGCATGTGACTCGAACCTGACGGGTTCCGACCAGATCTGATCCGATCGGGTCGTATTTTTTTAAAAAAATCGAGTTCGGGTCTGGTCGGGTCGGTTTTTTTAAAATGTGATGTTCGGGTTGGGTTGAGTTCGGGTTTAGGATAAAAATACCCGACCCGAAAAAAAATATAATTTTACTTTATATATTTAGGAATAATTACAATAATACCCCTCTATATATATATATTTTCCAATTAAGTCACTATTTTTATCGAATAAAAATATTTTTTATTATTTCGGGTCGGGTTTTAAAATTATATATCGGGTTGGGTTCGGGTCGGGTAAAAACATGTTTTGGTCGGTCGGGTCTCGGGTGGAGGACTCCTTGTTCTCGGGTCGAGTCGGGTGGACCAAAAACTCGACCCAACCCAACCTATGCCCATCCCTACTTATAAGTGGAGGGTTAAATAATTTAAAATACAAATTTCATTGAACATAAGTTTAAATGTTTAATCCTTATATTGGTAGTTTTTAAGTATTTTATTAAAATATTATATTAAAAATATGAAAAAAATAAGAGTATCACTACAATAATTATAATAAATAAAGAACAAATTTTTTAATATTTTTTCGATTGAATTGATGTTAAAGTTAAAATATTAAAAATAATTGTTAAACTAATAAATAATTTAAAAACCTTTAAAAATAAATATAATTATTGTATTTTTATAATGTGACCTGCAGGCTGCATGAACTTATTAAATGTGTTTAATCCTGGTTAGAGACTAACCATTATAATAGTTTTTAGGGTAAATTACGCGTTTAGTACGTAAATTATCAGTTTTGATCCGTTTTAATACTTAAATTTTTAAATTTTCAAAATAATACATGACATCTAGTTTTTGTTTTATATTAGTACCCACCATTAAAAACATAACATGTTTAGTACCTAAACTATCAGTTTTGGTCCGTTTTAGTACCTAAACTTTCATATTTTTTTCTTCAAAACTTAATGTTAAATTTCGAATGGGATACTAAAATGAAATAAATATTAAACTTTAGGTATGATTTAAAAAATTAAAAGTCTAGATACTAAAACAAACAAAAAGCAGGTAGTTCAAGTACTAACCGTGTAATTTATCTTAGTTTTTAATGGGCATAAAACCAACAATAGCTCCTAACATTTATCAAAATAGTCATTTTGCCTCTTATTTTTTTGGAGCATTTTGTCCCCAACGTTATATTTTTGGCAAAAATATCCCTAACGTTTGATAGAATAATCACTTTGGTCCTCATTCTTTTTTCCTAAATCCTTTTAGCCCTCAACATTTCATTTTAAAATAAAAAAGCCCCTATTTTGAAGCTTTAATCGTATGTTAATTGATGACTTTCATTTATAGAGCGATATTTTACCCCAAAGTAAAATATAGGGGCTAAAATATTCTAAAGAAAGAAAAAGAACCAAAATGAACATTTTGATAAATGTTGGGCTATTTTTTTTGGGCACTATGCCTCTTCAATGCAACAAAATAGATCGCATATAGTCCATGTTTTCTTTTCTTTTCTAAATAGAAAAATACACTACCAACTTTCAGTTGGTTACTAAAATTCAAAACCACCCAAATGTGAATCCCATATGATATATAATAATATTCCCAATATCTCATTATATGCAAAGAAATCGCCAAACCAATCATCGAAATGTATTTTTGTCAAACCCTCCCAACAAATATTTTTAAAGAAACCCTAACAGCTAGAGATAACTGGGGAGCAATAATTCCAAGAAAAGACCTCCCCAACCTCCTTCCATATAATAGTCTCCAGGGTTAAGTACACAAATCGTCCCCGACTATAAGATACTATTTTATTAAGTCCCTTAATTATTAAAAGTTATAATATGGTTCTATGACTATATAATATTGCTTTGTTAAGTCATTCGACTATTAAAAGTTACAAAAATGGTCACCCGACAATTCATTATGTTCCAAACTCGTCATTTTCCATTAAAAATCGGCGGTTGTCTAAGCTAGACGTTAACATGACGACTGGGATGTCATAGTCGTTTGAGTTTCTGGGATTATATTTTATCATATCATAGTCGGCTTGTTAAGTTCAGCTCGGAATATCGTCAACTTTTTAAAGGAAAAAGACGAGTTTGAAACATAATGAATAGTCGGATGACCATTTTGTAACTTTTGATGGTCGAGGGACTCAACAAAACAATACTCTATAGTCGTAAGACCATTTTGTAACTTTTAATAGTCGATGGACTTAATAGAGCAGTATCCTATGGTCAGGGACTATTTGTGTACTTTACCCTAGTCATTATTAATTACAATACTTATGTTTTTTTTTTTATAAATTTCGTTCGTTGTCCATTTCAACTCTCAATAATTAAACTAATGTTGGGATTTAAATTCATAATGTTGGAGCTTTCCTATGCATAACATTGCTGTATTGAGACCTGTGTTCGGTTAACAAGAAAGATGGGTGAGAAAATCACGTATGACACATTCTTCGCCAGAAGCTTTAGTCGTTCTGATCAAAGGAAACTCGGATACGCTGCGTTTCTCGGTTGTTTGCTCATTGCATTGAGCTTCTGTCTTGTTTTCAGGCCCTACTCCGCCGCCGCTCCTCCGTCGTCAGTTGGTGAGTTTCCGAAATCCCTTCTTTCTTTTCCGATTCAATTACAGTTGATTGTTCATTGATCGTTGATTGTTGATCGGTGACGTTGGTTTTTCGAGGTTTGAGTAACGGTGTACCGACGAGAATGAATATAGTCTGCAAATCAGAAACAAGATCAGATATCTGCGAGATCCATGGTGAAGACATAAGGATTGATGCAAAGTTCTCTACTGTTTTCGTCTCTGCTTCATCCCAAGAAGAAAACAGCTCCGTTCTCATCGGACCTTATTGTCGAAAAGGAGACGAAATCGCCATGAGAAGAGTGAAGAAATGGTTGGTGAAACCAGTGGTGGATGCCAATGGTATTGCCATCCCCGGTTGTAATCAGAGTCACAATGTTCCGGCCATCCTCTTCTCCCTCGGAGGATATTCAGGGAACAATTTCCATGACTTTACAGACATCATTATCCCGCTGTATTCGACGGCTCGAGTGTTCAACGGAGAGGTCAAGCTTCTTGTTACAAACAGCAATCCATGGTGGATCAACAAGTTCCGAAATTTAGTGCAGAAGCTGTCTAATTACGAGGTTATAGACATCGATAATGAAGCAAACGTCCATTGCTTCACAACTGTTGTTGTTGGTCTCAAACGTGCCCCTCAAGAGCTGAGCATCGATCCTTTGAAATCGCCCTACACGATGAAAGACTTCAGACAGTTCCTGAGAAGTGCATACTCCATAAACAAGGTCACCGCGATCGAAATAGACGACGACAATAACGTGAAGACGAGACCCCGGCTCCTCATCGTCGCGAGAAACCGAACAAGGGCGTTCAGGAATACGGATGAGATCGTTAGAATGGCAAGCGATTTGGGGTACCAAGTAGTGGTAGCCGAGGCCAATGGGAACATACAAAGATTTGCAGAGATTGTGAATTCATGTGATGTCATGATGGGAGTGCACGGAGCCGGTTTAACCAACATGGTTTTTCTGCCCGAGAATGCAGTTTTGATCCAGATAATTCCGATCGGAGGGGTCGAATGGCCGGCCAGAGTGGCGTTCGGAGAGCCGTCCAAGGACATGAACATAAGGTACTTGGATTATAAGATTAAAACAGAAGAGAGTAGCCTGATACAGCAATACCCGGTGGATCACGAAGTTTTCAACAGTCCATTGTCCATTTCGAAACAGGGTTGGTTGAAATTCAAGGAAGTGTATTTGGACAAACAGGATGTCATCCTTGACATCAATAGGTTTAAACCCACTTTGCAAAGAGCTCTTGAGCTTCTACATAGGTAAATATATGCGGGTACCTAAGTTTTACCCGTTTATCGTATATGCATCTTATCAGAGAATTGTCGAATTCGGGAGTCGATTACAATTAAGGAACGATGAGCGCCCTCGAATTACCCTTTCAGCACCATAAGATTACCAGTTGTCTTAGTTGTGAAAATTTAAAGTTTAAATAAAAATTTAAATTAAATTCGACCTAAATTATTCACCTTTAAAGATTTTTTATTAAAAAATAAAATAAATTACGATTATAAGAACAAGTTAGGTCTAATATGCAAAAGTGAGACAAGAGGTAACGGATATCAAAATAAAAAATTAATGTAAATCATACCTAACATGTTAAATTAGTACTGAAATTAAATAATTAAGAAATGTGAAATTTAAAGTACATGAAAAAAATAAGTACAAAATAATAAATAAACAAATAAAAATAATAAGAAGAACCGATTTAAAACATATTAAATATTTTTTTAATGTTGAGTTAAAAAGAAACCAAATAATAATAATAAAAAAAGCGTTAAATGGGAAGGAATTTTAATTAAAAAAAGAAAGAATTTATGAAAATTAAGCAAATTGAAACAGTAAATCAAATTAGGAATGAAAAACATTAGACGAAAACTAAATGAGTTAAAAAGGAAATTATAAAAGAATTAAAGGGAAAATATTAAAGACAATTTAAGAAATAATTAAAAATAAAATAAAATGAAAACTAACAAATTGTAAACAGGGTTAAAATGAACTAAAGTTAAATTGAAAAATAATTTAAGAAAAAAGGACTAGATTGAGTTCTCAAAAAAAATAGGGGGACTATGATAGAAATTATCTCCTATGAAAATACGTGGACTCGAAAGAGATTCGAGTTGGGTCATCAAATCATCTAATTGAATATAAAACCCAAAAAATATATCAAAATAAATAACTAAATAAATTTTAAAAACATTTAAGATCCACCATTTATTTTCATTGAAAAACATCAAAGAAGACTAAATCTATGAAGATTATTTAAAAGCATTTATTCCTTATTCCTTGATATTCTCTAATTCCACGGAAATTTTAAGTAAAATTAAGACCGTGATCGATCGAAACAATAAAAATAAAATAAAGATAAAAAATTAAAAATGAAAAGGTTATTCCTTTTCACTAAGAAATCTCAAGGAAGGTTAAATATATAAATATTAGTTTAAAAACTCTTTTTTTCTTATTCCTCGGTTTCCCTCTCAAAGAAAATAAGAAAAGAAAAGAAAGTAAAAACAATACCAAAATTGAACAAAGTGACAAGAACAAAAATAAAGAAAATGAATTGCCTTTAGTTAAAAATTTTCTTTTATTGCTCGTATTTTTTCGGTTACCCTCCCCCACTACAAAATAAGAGTGTCTTGGCTCACAAAAACCCTAAAAACAAAAAATCTTATAATCTTTTCATTAGTATTAAATATACTAATTAAGAAAAATAATATTAGTATAATGAAAAGATCCTAACTTATCCTCAATAAATAAAAGAAAGTATAAAGATGAATTTATTCACAAATAATCATTAAAATAATTAAAAATTCAGAATAAATTAAAATTATTGGATTGAGCCCATACCTAATTTTCTACCCGCACGGTTTTCGCTAAAATAAATATATCTTGAGTTTCCGACGTCTGATTGAGGCGTTTCAAAATGTGTTGGAATGTGAACTGAAAACCGATCATATCTTAAGAAGAAATTATTCCCTAGAAATGTTTGGATTTTGCTTTAAAATTTATTGCAAGTCGGTTGATGTCTTGACCTTCAAAATCAACTTCAATAAAAATGTTTGGGTTTTGGGAAAAAAAACTAAATCAGACAAAAACCGGGTATTACAATATGGTAGTCTTTCACCAAAAAATTAAAGTCGTATGGTGTTATACGGAGAATAATGATTTTAAATCAAAAAATAATATGATGAGTGTCTTATACGGAGAATTTTTGTTTTCCACCTCTCTACGTGAACAAATTTACCGTACGCAACTATTATACCATGCTCCATAAAATACATAAAACATAAACATACTATTTATAGCTCATTAATAGGAAGTTCAAACGTCTTGTTAAGGTTGTGATCTACCATATTTAGAAGTTTATATACACACCAACAAGTCAAGCAAATAGTCACTCGTTTAATATTTACGCTTATAACATGAACCAAGTCGATTATGTGGTAAAGAAATTATTGTTATTTATTGAAGATTCGAGTTTTAACACCATAAATGTCAGGATGTGAGCGTTTAATGTCGAAAGGTTGAGAGTTTATCTTTAAACAAATATAGCTTTATACTTACCCCATATTAATCAAAAAAATATCTATGCCGATAAAGAAATCGTATTAATGAGTTGATTTGATCGTCTAATTTGAGATAAATTTACGAGCAGCTCACTAATTTTTTTTATTTAATTTTCTTGTAGTTATCTTAAAAAATCATTTAATTAAAAAAATATTATTTTACTAAAAGATAATAAAAAATAGGATAAATTGTTAATCTATTAATTTCATAATAAACAACAAAAATACTAAATTATTAATTAATATTTTACTATACCAAAAAATCAAACACTATTTATTATTTTAATGTATGTGTAGATTGCTACTTTAGAGTTTAAACTTTGAAATTGTTTCATACATTCTTTTGATATTTTTTGGTTAAATTTATTAATTTATGTTTATATTAAACTGTATATAGTATTAGTAGATTTTAATTATAGTTAAGAAAATAAGGTAAAAATTTTGGTGAACTTAATGAGTGACGAGCAACGAGTCAGGTAACAAATTTTTTTAACGAACACGAGTCGAGTAAAATTTTAACAAGTTTAACGAGTAACGAGTCGAGTAACAAAAATTTTTTAACGAGTATGACTCGAGCAAAATTTTAACGAGTTTAACGAATAACGAGTCGATTCGAACAGTAAAATTTTTTAATGAGCCAAAAAAAATAGTACCTTTCAGAAAACAAAATTACAAAATAAAGTAAGAATTTTAAATAATAAGTTTTATTTTTTAAATATATTTAAAATATGATCTATTTTTATTATATTATAATAAATGTTTGACTTTAATTATTTTACTATTTTTTTGATTAATTTTATTTTTTATATTTTTTATGTCTATCACTTCAATCTCTTACTGTTAACTATTTAAATATATAGTAATAATAATAGGAGCTAATGGGAAACTGTCACATATCAAAACACTTAAGAAATTTTAAAAAATAAAATGCTATAGAAATTCAAGAGTCATACAATTTATAAAAAAAATTAAATATAAAAATTCTAAAAAATATCAGAAGTTTAAAACATATGTTTGATAATATATTCTTTATAAATATACAATTTTGTTTAATTCTTTTGAAAAAAAATTATAAAATTATTAAAGATGCAAAAAATCATTTAACATTTCTAAAAAGACAGATGGAAAATTATATATATATATATATTGGTTTTAGAGATTTTTATTTTAAAATAATTTACAGATTTTTTAATATCAATTTTTAAAATTAATTTAAATAAAAGTTTTGAATTTAATTAAATTTCCTTAACGAATATGTAACATTCGATATGATATTATTCTTACGAAACCACCTTTCTTTACCAAGAAAAAAAATGAGAAATATTGTGAAAAATAATAATTTATCTTAAATTTAAAAATATTTAACGAAATATATTAATTGTCAAAGTGATGGCTCTTAAGAACTTGTCACGTAGCTTTCGTGACGTTGGAAAAGTCGTCACTAGACACTAGCTATCAACAGGTGTAGAATAAATTAGGTTAAACTATGAGTTTAATATCTAAATTATCATTTAAGTATATGTTTAAAACTTAACATTAAGTTTTGAAAAAAAATTAGGTATTAAAACAGATCAAAAATGATAGTTTAGGTATTAAACACATTAAATTTTTAATTACGAGAATTAAAATGAAACAAAACTAAATGTTAAATATGATTTTGAAAAAATATTATTTAAGTACTAAAACGGATCAAAACTGATACTTTAGGTACTAAATGCATAATTTACCAATAAATTGTAGCAAAATAAAATATATTTAAAATTAAAATAGTATTTGACAAGCACAAATTAAGTTTCGAAGGGATTGATTTTTTTAAGGTCCCAAGTTAGAATACTAATAATCTTCTGGGTATTTAAGTGTTCATTATCATGTTTAGAACGAATAATTATGGATAGGAATGGGGCGGGACAGGTTTTTGGCCTCCGACCCGATCGAAAGTATATTACTTAAACCCGACTTTGTCTCGTCCTGATAAATTTTAACATTTTTTAGCCCCACCCCGATTTTTATATTAAAATCTCGATCCCAACCTGAATATATTAATATTTTAAAATAATATATTTATAATTATTTATTATATTTTAAATGATTAAAATAAAATATTTTATAATATTTTATATTTTGAATAATTAAAGAATATATTTTTAATAATATTAAAAAATCTTAAATATATTATATATATAATGATAAATTAATAATATATCAGCTTTGACCGAATCATGTCGATTTTTTTCATCTTAGACCCAACCTCGCCCCACTCGAAATTATATACCACATAACCCGCTTCGCTCCTAACTTTGAAATTTCAAAGAAAACCCACCCTTATAGAATCGAGTCGGATGGGATTGGAACCAATCGAATTAGGGTATTTTGACCATCCCTACAAATAATAATAAAGCATAAAGATATCAAAATGAATAAAAGAAAAAATACAAGGAAGCATATAAGACATTATCCCTTATCAAAATCAGGAGCACATGAACGGCTCCATAAAAAAATCCTAATAATTGAAGTTCATACTCGTTGGATATTACAAATCCTACACAGAAAGAAGATTGTTATATTTATGTATTTAGAGTTGGGAACTTATTTTATTGGGCTGTTGAGTGAAACAAATATCGGTTGGGTAAATCTGTTCTTCTGTCTCACTCTCTGTGGATCTGCAAAGCTCAAAGATTTAACACAGAAGAAAGAAGAAGAACTCAAAAATCTCATGGAAGAAGACGAGTTGGACTACCTACTGGTTCCATTGGGGCTGCTGCTTCTTCTTCTCTATCATGTATGGCTTCTTTTTACCATCATCAAGCATCCTTCAAAGACTGTCGTCGGCTTAAACGCCCAGTCTCGTCACCAATGGGTTTTCTGCATGATGTCCGTGAGTCATTTTCTCCATCTCACTGCCCTTTTTGATCCCCATGATTTCTGCTTATAGTTTTGAGTTATGGGTTCTTTTCAAAGTTTTGGAATTTATCCACCTATGGGATTAAAACCCGTTGGGGATGGCATTCCATTGTAGGAGTTAGATGATCTTTGACTTGTGACTCAACTCTTAGATGTTCTATGACTTTTGGAAGTAAAAGCATCTTACTTACCAAGTTGGACTGATCTTTTGCATACAAATACAAATCTTCAATATTTGACTCGTTCTCCCTGAATTTGCTTCTCTTTGGTTGATTATTTTGAGTGCCCTTTGATTTGGTTCACCAGATTTGGTGAGAGTTGATGAGCCAATGATTGCATTATGGTCTATTTCATTAGGCTCAGTTGGATAGTTGATGCTTCTCGTATATATATATATATATATATATTTGCCACTTGCTTTTAGATAAACAAGTTAAAAGTTTATGTAGTAAAACATACTAAAATTAATAGTTTAGAGTTTAGGTACTAAATACGCAAGTTTTTAACAGTTGGTACTAAAATAAAATAAAAACTAAACATTAGATATATTTTGAAAAAATTGAAAGCTTAGGTATGTTTTCGTCCATTTTAGTGCTTAAACTTTCAAATTTTTTTTCAGAATCATACATAATGTTTAGTTTTTATTTCATTTTAGCATCCACTGTTTTAGTACCTAATGTTTAGTTTTTTTCAAAAACTTTCAATTTTTGGTCCGAACTTTTTCAATAATCAAATGCTGCATATTTAGAACATTTTGTAGACATTTTGTCTGTCATCTTGGAGCTTTATGTCGGATATTCTCTGTTCACATGTATCATGTAGAGACATTGTTGTAGGACTCAATGTCTGCAACAACAAAATGCTGGCATAGGGGACTCAAGTGCATTTTGCACCTTCTCTTTGATGTTTCAGGATCCCTTGAAAAATGGTGTTCTGGCAGTACAAACAATACGCAACAACATAATGGCGTCGACACTTTTGGCAACGATATCTATCACTCTTAGTTCTCTGATTGGTGTTTTCGTTAGCAGCGACGCAGACAACTCGACCTCGGAGATAGTTTTTGGCAATAAGACCCCACTGCTCTCTGCAATCAAGTATTTCTCCATCTTGCTGTGTTTCCTGGTTGCCTTTCTTTGCAATGTGCAGTGTATTAGATACTACGCCCATGTGAGCTTCTTGATCACTCTCCCTGCATCGGTGGACAATACGGAGACTGTAACATCCCAAAATACGGGTAAGTGACCAAAATTGTAAAATTTCATAATATGGTGATTAAAGTATAATAGTTTAATGATTTGTTCAGAAATATTTTCTAAAAGTTTATTGTAATTATCTAAAGAGTTAAAGGGCAAATTGGTCATTAGACTTGAAAATATAATTAAATGATATATATATGGATAAGGATGGAGATTTTTCCAGAAAAAAAATCTCTTCTCTCTTTTCCTTCTTCATTTTCTCTTCACGTGTGAAGCCAAGCAAAAGGTAAGTTGTCTCTTGAGTTGATTATGTGCTGAAATTTAAGTTTAGTTTTGATTATTAGATACTAAGTAAGATTAAGGAAGGATTAATTTGCTTTAAAACAACAAAATGAAGAGTTTATGAGGATTTAAAGATTAGGAGTTTTGGAATGAAATATTGAAATAAAGTGTATATTGAGAATTGAAAGGTGAATTTGACTTGTAATCAAGTTAATTAAGGGATAGGAAGTGTTAGAATAGGAATTTGAACATGTTGCAAAACTAGTAGAATTTTTGTAATTACATAGGAATGACTATATTTGAAGTTAAAGAAGTGATTATGGAATAGAAATAAGTTTAAGTATGTGTATTAAAGTTAGGAGTATTAAGGGAGGTAAAATAGGAAGGTTTGAATTGAAAATTGATGATTTTCGAGCTTAGAATGCAATTTCTGGGTAGAGGGAACCGATACCCTATGAATGGGAATCGATTCCCCTTCTTGAACGAAAAATTTCCAGAATGTTAAGGGGGTACCGATTCCCCTGGGGGGGTATCGATTCCCCCCTAAATGAAAATTCAGAATTCGATTTATTAAACCGGTTTAAGTTATTAACATCAAGTTTAAAGTTTAGGCTTCTGATAGTTGTTTTGAAATGATATATTTATGTAGATATTGAGCCTAAACAAGTTCCGGAATAATCAAAGGATTATAATCGAATCAAAGCAAGGCTAAGGTGAGTGCAATTTAAATTGTACTTATGTGATTGATCAAACATTGGCTTGCGATGAGTCAATGATAGAGTTACTATGGTAAGAAGTAACTTATATAATGTTATGTGATTACTCTGTATGCATTAGTACATAGAAATGGATGTATGTTTATATGTTACATGATTTACATGCTTACATGAAAATGCAACATATGATATTAGATATGTGTTTACACATACATTTGGTATGTGATAAGAAGAGAAGGAACATGTGATTATGAGATCAAGGATTACACGTATATGTGATACGTGACTGAAAAGAAACGGTATGTGTTTATAAGAGTAAGAATATGAATAAGTAATGTGAACGGTCATAAATGATAATGCCCATGTTATGTGATATGAGAGCTAGGGGTATAGTTGGCATGCCAAGGGTCGAGGGTTACCTATGTTCTTCGGGACATATGGACTGTTTACCTATGTTCTTCGGGACATATGGACTGTTTACCTATGTTCTTCGGGACATATGGACTGTTTACCTATGTTCTTCGGGACATATGGACTGTTTACCTATGTTCTTCGGGACATATGGACTGTTTACCTATGTTCTTCGGGACATATGGACTGTTTACCTAGGTTCTTCGGAATCTATGGACTGGTCCTTCGGGACATTGATCGAGCTGTTGTGACAGCATAGTGGTGCACAACCTCAATGTACTCACATACCTTGAGTTCTCAAAAGTATACATGGGCTAATACATGGTCTTTACAGAGAGTAAATGGACTAGGTATGTTTTGTTGTGAAGTAGTATATGTGTTCCATGGTATGTAGAGAAATGTTCGATATATGTATTTATATTATCTCAGGTTATCATGTATACTGAATTATATGCGACTCGATTGAATTCATAGATTGAATGTTTATATTTATGAGAAATGCATTATTGTTATTATGTTTTTGCTTCACTAAGTCTATGACTTAGCGTGTAAGTGATTTACACGTAGGTACTGAGAAGCAGAAGGATCAAAGCTAAGTTCAAAGTAACAACATATCTCTGCCCAAAGACCAGATCAGAAGTAAATTACACAGTATGTATTATTATGATAAATAGGTTGGCATGTAAATAAAGTAGGCAAATTAGGTAGTATGCTCTGATCGAGTTTTGTAATCTGTTAAACATATATATATAAGTACGAATGCAAAGAAATGAACTGTTAAATGTTTTACGAGTGTTATGTACAATTTACGAAAAATCACTGTAGCAGATTACTGTATTACTGTTCATACCGTATTTCACCGTTCATAAATACGTTTTTCTCAAATTTTTATACAACACACAATTGAATAATATTTGACTGTATTTTCTTAATATAAATTCAAAAGTTCAGTACTTTTACAAGAGTAAAGGTTTTGAAAGTGTCAATGTGACATCTCGGACTCGTATTCAAGTCGGGTACGGGTTGGGGTGATACATTTAATGGTATCAGAGCTACGGTTTAGCCGATTCTCGGCATAAACAAGAGTCTAGGGTGTCTTATAATGTATACATGCCAACAAAATAGTGAAAACTTCTGATCTGGTATAGTAATGAGTATGTTGTTTTCCTAATAGAACGATATGTTTATTCTTAATAGATGTCCGGACATGATAGTTATAGAAGTCAAGCGGGAGATGATCGACCCGCTGAGAGTAGTAATTCACATGCCCTGGCCAGGCAAGGTGAAGAACAGACACCTTCTGGAGTGCCTGTAACTGATCAAGATGTGTTCTTTAGAACATTAGATGCGGTATTGACGCGTTATCAACCTCCTGATACTTCAACTCCAAGAATGAATGTTGCAAAGGAGTTGAAGGGTTTAGGAGCTACAGAGTTTAAAGGTGAAGCCGAAGAAGGTCCTGTTGCTGCGGACCTTTGGCTTAATGATGTAAAAATTATGTTAGATGGACTCCGCTGTTCTAATGTAGAGAAGTTAGATGGAGTGGTCTCCTTGCTTCGTGGGCAAGCGAGAATTTGGTGGACAAATGTCACTTTGAGAATGACCAATGATCAAGTGACATGGTCTTTGTTCTTAGAAGAGTTTAAGCATAAGTATATAGGAGACCAATTTATCCGTCAAATGAAGCAAGAATTTTTGAATCTGAAACAGATGAATCACACAGTGTATGAGTACGAGTGCGAGTTTAATAAGTTAAGTCGTTTTGCGGCTGAGTTGATTCCAACAGAGAAGGATGTGTGTGAGTGGTTTGTAGAGGGCTTGCACCCAAGGTTGAAAGAAATGTTAATAGTATTGAACTTGTCCTCATTTCAAGAAATAGTAAATCGTGCTAAAGCTCTAGAGAGAGCTCAGAATGAAAGGTTTGGGGATCAAAGAACCCAATCATCTAAAAGAACTGGGGCTTTATCGAGTTCTGCACCACCCAAGAGGGGTAGAGATTCTGGTACTCAGTCTCAGGCAAGGTCTGGAGGGGTAGAATCCTCCGTTAGAGAATCAAATCAGGGGAAAGTTAGACAGACCCAATCAGTAGGATTTGGTGAGGACAGAACCCAACAGAGACATTGTCAGACTTGTGGAAAATATCATGGTGGAATATGTAGGGTAGAATCCGGAGCTTGTTTCCGATGTGGTGAAATGGGACATTTTGTGAGAGACTGCCCATTGGGGAAAGGAGAACCAGTACAGTCGGAACGATCTGTTATGATACCTGGGAGAGGGAGAAGGAGAGGAAGAGGTAGGAGCCAATCTGAATCTTCTACTCAACAAGAAATACGCTCCACTGCTCGAATGTATAATATCAATACCAATGAAGATTTTGATGATCCGGAGATAATAGCAGGTATCTTTCTAGTGTGAAATAAATACATTATGATAATGATTGATTTAGGCTTGCATGTTTATATATATATTGGTGGTAAATTGGTGAAAGAATTGAGAGTTCAATTAGAAGTTATTTATAGTAATATGACAGTGACATATATATTAGGGTACAGCGTGTGGATAAGTAAGATATATTGAAAGTGTCCCATTATAATTCGGAGAATTTAATTTCTTACTAAATTGATGAATTGTTATTCAATGAGTTTGAAGTAAGATTGGAAATAAACCAGTAGTATAATGTTAGAGGATTTATATCGTTCTGAAATAGAATAGTTTCTTTGCTGCATTGATAAAATAAGGTATAGGGGGATGATTCTTATAAGGAGAATATTAAAAGATCGAATGATGCAGAATATTGTTATAGGAAAGTTTAAGAATATGTACGTCAGTGATTTACATTATAGATGGATTATTGGTATGGAGTGATGAGACTAGAGGTTACTGTCTATATAATGAGTTACATTATATGGATTTTAAGAAAGGTTAAAGTAAAATGCATTGGAGATGTGTAGACAATATCTTATCTCCTGGTGTAATGAAAATTCGAGGACGAATTTTCTTAAGGGGGGGAGATTTGTAACATCCCAAAATACGGGTAAGTGACCAAAATTGTAAAATTTCATAATATGGTGATTAAAGTATAATAGTTTAATAGTTTAATGATTTGTTCAGAAATATTTCCTAAAAGTTTATTGTAATTATCTAAAGAGTTAAAGGGCAAATTGGTCATTAGACTTGAAAATATAATTAAATGATATATATATATGGATAAGGATGGAGATTTTTCCAGAAAAAAAATCTCTTCTCTCTTTTCCTTCTTCATTTTCTCTTCACGTGTGAAGCCAAGCAAAAGGTAAGTTGTCTCTTGAGTTGATTATGTGCTGAAATTTAAGTTTAGTTTTGATTATTAGATACTAAGTAAGATTAAGGAAGGATTAATTTGCTTTAAAACAACAAAATGAAGAGTTTATGAGGATTTAAAGATTAGGAGTTTTGGAATGAAATATTGAAATAAAGTGTATATTGAGAATTGAAAGGTGAATTTGACTTGTAATCAAGTTAATTAAGGGATAGGAAGTGTTAGAATAGGAATTTGAACATGTTGCAAAACTAGTAGAATTTTTGTAATTACATAGGAATGACTATATTTGAAGTTAAAGAAGTGATTATGGAATAGAAATAAGTTTAAGTATGTGTATTAAAGTTAGGAGTATTAAGGGAGGTAAAATAGGAAGGTTTGAATTGAAAATTGATGATTTTCGAGCTTAGAATGCAATTTCTGGGTAGAGGGAACCGATACCCTATGAATGGGAATCGATTCCCCTTCTTGAACGAAAAATTTCCAGAATGTTAAGGGGGTACCGATTCCCCTGGGGGGGGTATCGATTCCCCCCTAAATGAAAATTCAGAATTCGATTTATTAAACCGGTTTAAGTTATTAACATCAAGTTTAAAGTTTAGGCTTCTGATAGTTGTTTTGAAATGATATATTTATGTAGATATTGAGCCTAAACAAGTTCCGGAATAATCAAAGGATTATAATCGAATCAAAGCAAGGCTAAGGTGAGTGCAATTTAAATTGTACTTATGTGATTGATCAAACATTGGCTTGCGATGAGTCAATGATAGAGTTACTATGGTAAGAAGTAACTTATATAATGTTATGTGATTACTCTGTATGCATTAGTACATAGAAATGGATGTATGTTTATATGTTACATGATTTACATGCTTACATGAAAATGCAACATATGATATTAGATATGTGTTTACACATACATTTGGTATGTGATAAGAAGAGAAGGAACATGTGATTATGAGATCAAGGATTACACGTATATGTGATACGTGACTGAAAAGAAACGGTATGTGTTTATAAGAGTAAGAATATGAATAAGTAATGTGAACGGTCATAAATGATAATGCCCATGTTATGTGATATGAGAGCTAGGGGTATAGTTGGCATGCCAAGGGTCGAGGGTTACCTATGTTCTTCGGGACATATGGACTGTTTACCTATGTTCTTCGGGACATATGGACTGTTTACCTATGTTCTTCGGGACATATGGACTGTTTACCTATGTTCTTCGGGACATATGGACTGTTTACCTATGTTCTTCGGGACATATGGACTGTTTACCTATGTTCTTCGGGACATATGGACTGTTTACCTAGGTTCTTCGGAATCTATGGACTGGTCCTTCGGGACATTGATCGAGCTGTTGTGACAGCATAGTGGTGCACAACCTCAATGTACTCACATATCTTGAGTTCTCAAAAGTATACATGGGCTAATACATGGTCTTTACAGAGAGTAAATGGACTAGGTATGTTTTGTTGTGAAGTAGTATATGTGTTCCATGGTATGTAGAGAAATGTTCGATATATGTATTTATATTATCTCAGGTTATCATGTATACTGAATTATATGCGACTCGATTGAATTCATAGATTGAATGTTTATATTTATGAGAAATGCATTATTGTTATTATGTTTTTGCTTCACTAAGTCTATGACTTAGCGTGTAAGTGATTTACACGTAGGTACTGAGAAGCAGAAGGATCAAAGCTAAGTTCAAAGTAACAACATATCTCTGCCCAAAGACCAGATCAGAAGTAAATTACACAGTATGTATTATTATGATAAATAGGTTGGCATGTAAATAAAGTAGGCAAATTAGGTAGTATGCTCTGATCGAGTTTTGTAATCTGTTAAACATATATATATAAGTACGAATGCAAAGAAATGAACTGTTAAATGTTTTACGAGTGTTATGTACAATTTACGAAAAATCACTGTAGCAGATTACTGTATTACTGTTCATACCGTATTTCACCGTTCATAAATACGTTTTTCTCAAATTTTTATACAACACACAATTGAATAATATTTGACTGTATTTTCTTAATATAAATTCAAAAGTTCAGTACTTTTACAAGAGTAAAGGTTTTGAAAGTGTCAATGTGACATCTCGAACTCGTATTCAAGTCGGGTACGGGTTGGGGTGTTACGTTGAGTATGTCGCAAGAAACTTAAACAGAGGAAGTTATTGCTGGTCACTCGGACTGCGAGCCTTCTACTTATCATTCCCCCTATTGCTTTGGATCTTTGGTCCCATACCCATGTTTCTGTGCTGCTCCATGATGTCGTTTCTTCTATATTTCTTGGACACTACGAGCAGTTTCACGCGCCGACTTCACCGCCGTTCGTTCAACGAGGATACGTTGAAAGCTTGTGACGTGGAATCTATTAGCCAAGTATCGTGAGTGCTTTCGAAACTTTTGATTGTTTCAAGCATTTCTTGTCCCCAAAATTTAGCCAATGTTGATGTTCCCAGGCAGAGAGTTTGTATTGAAGAATACAACCTTCACAGCCCTCTACTGCATGCTGCCTCTAACAGTGCCTGCTAATCAATTGTTGATGATGATTCAGCTTGATGGTAATTCTACTGCGAACATTTTAATTGTTTCCACTTATCTTTTTTTAAAAGTTGATTTAATATGGTTATGACTGATTAAGATGATACTTACATGTTATATTGTTGATTTTTCCTGATTGGATATTCGGATTGGATTTGAGTACTCGTTATGCACTCGTGGATAGTTTTTTCACGTCGCTCGAGTCTGATTTACGGTTTATCGGTGGTATTTCAGCAGTTTGATTCCCTTTTGTGGTTCGTTCGCCGATGCAATCATGTTTGTTTGTATATATCTTTATTCGAGTTTTTTAGTCAGGTTTTAATATTTCCTTATATGGTCCTTATGTGATATTAAGTTGCTAGTTTTGTTTCAATGATTATAGAAAATTATCTTAATTATATATTTAATTTATGATTATAATTATAAATCTCTATTGTAATTTAATATATATTTTTATTTTGAATAAAATTAACAGCTTCTCTAAAAAAAACATAATAAAGAGTACTATTATCTTATACAAAAGCAATAATTTACTTAGTAGGATGATTATAGGGTTATCTTAAATTTATGATTATTTTATCCTTCCTATTTTTAGTTCAAATCAATTTTATTTTTCAAAAATAATACATAATTTCTCGTTCATCACTCAATCTTTTTGAACATATGATATAATGATATAAAAGTCTCATGAAATAAAATATAAAATAATAATTTTTTATTCGAATCTCTACTTTTATTCGGTATGTCTCAAATTTTTTTAAAATCTCTTTTTTCCCTACAGTTGTTATTGAAATTATGCAAGTGTTTTGACCATTGATTTTCAATTTTTATTTGAGTAAAATTTTTAAATTCACACTTGCATATGCAGTTATATGCTCAAATTCATCCCATACCCACTACTTAATTGAATATCCACCACTCATTCTGTACCCGTCTACACCTATAAATTTGAGATAAAGAAAACAACGATCATCAATTTTAAAAATACTTATACCCTAATATTTAGTTAAATTATACCTAAATTTATAATTATCCAAAATTTATATGGTAGGTAGTTAGTGGACGCAGACGCAGGACGAATAAGGTATCAAACCATTATCTACCTACTACTTACGATGTATAATTTTATCATCTACACCCACAACCTACTAAATTTATGCCAATTTCCGTCTCAACTGAAACGAGTACGATATAAAATCCATAAAGTTATCCTCGTTTGCATCTCTAAACCCTCGACCCTCAAACAAGGCTACTACTATCTTTAAAATCGATAACCCAATAAATAAATAAATAAATCCAAATCTTAGAAGAAGAGCCATATCCAAATCGAATTGGACAAGTATCTCAGGCCCCCATTTTGGGTGCAAATTATATTGGATCGAGTTGAATTAGAATCAGATAGACAGAAATAATCTTAATCCCAGATTGGACCAAGTTTTGACAGGTGAAACAGATTAGAAGGAAGGTCAGGCCTCAGGCCGACTCGATGCTGATTCGCTGAACGGATAAAGGCGGCTGAGTCCGAGCCCTTGAGTGGGCAGCAAGGACGCGCACGCCGTTTTCATTATTGCCACTTGCCAGCCGTATGAATCATCTCTTAACGTGTCTCGTTACTCTATTTCCTTTAGCCCCAAGGCAATCCTTCCGTATATATATTCACCCCTTTTCCTCCCTTCACTTTCTACCTCTGTTCCATTTGGGGTTCTCTCATTTTTGAGAAAGGGTGACCCTCGCTTGTTAAAACGATACACTTTATACACGTAGAACAGGAAACAGGAAACAGGAAAAAAAAGGGGGAAGGTTTTATTTTGTTGATCAGGTACGTTCCATTTCTGTTCTGTTCATGATTCCTGATTTGGGTTTTGTTTGTTTGTTTTTAATTGATTTAAGGATTAGTGACTGATGCTTTTTCTCTTTTAATTGAAACTCAATTTCAAGTACTTGTTTGGTTCTTTTGTTTGTTATTTCGAACCAAGGGTTTGTTGGGTTATTGATAAATGTTTCTTTTTGGCTTGGTGGTGTTATAGTTTCTTTGATCTTTTGCTTCATCCGCAAAATTTCGATCCGGTTTGTTAAGTTCGTCGACGTCTAGCTGCAAAATCATGAGCTTTCATGGCCGAAAAAGATCGACTTCACGGAGCACTCGTCAAGAATGGATTCCTAGAGGATCTTCATCTGCAACCACCACTGTTGAAAGCAGCTCACCAGCAGCCTCTGATTCAACATCTAATGTCAACCAGGCCTCAATTCGAAATGATGATAGATATAGACTAACTGGTGGGCCTACCAACCATAGGGGAGATGGGGAAAAGGAAAGGGCTGAGAATCATGTGGCGGTGAGGAAGGAGATCGATTGTAATTCTCCGCAGCTTGCGCAGGAAATTAGAGATAAGCAGCCCATCAACCATAGGAGAGATGGGAAGAAGGAAAGGAGTGCGAATTTTGTTGCTGTGAAGAAGGGGCTTGATCCTAATTTGCCGCAGCTTTTGCAGGAAATTCAGGATAAGCTTATAAAGAGTACCGTCGAGTGTATGATTTGTTGTGATATGGTAAAGAGGTCGGGCACCATATGGTCTTGCTCGAGCTGTTACTCCATTTTTCACCTCAATTGTATTAAGAAATGGGCGAGGGCACCCACTTCTGTTGATTTAGTGACCGAGAAGAATCAGGGTTTTAATTGGCGTTGCCCGGGCTGCCAGTCTGTGCAGTTCACATCCTCTAAAGAGATTCGGTATGTTTGCTTTTGTGGGAAGAGGAATGACCCTCCTCCTGATTTGTACTTGACTCCACATTCATGTGGAGAGCCATGCGGAAAGCCGCTTGAGAAGGAGCTGGGACTAGGATCTGGGGTGATGAAGGATGAACTTTGTCCTCATAATTGTGTTTTGCAATGTCACCCAGGTCCATGTCCCCCTTGTAAGGCATTTGCTCCGCCAAGTTTGTGTCCTTGTGGGAAGAAAGTTATTACAACTAGATGTCCTGATAGGAAGTCGTTTCTTACTTGTGGTCAGCAGTGTGATAAACTTCTCGAGTGTGGTCGTCATCATTGTGAACAGGTTTGCCATATCGGAGCTTGTGATCCTTGCAAAGTTCTAATTAATGCCCCCTGTTTCTGCAAAAAAAAAGTTGAAGTTGTCATCTGTGGCGACATGGTTGTGAAGGGAGAAGTGAAAGCAGAAGATGGCATTTTTTCTTGTAATTCAACGTGTGGAAAGAAGCTTAGATGTGGTAATCATTATTGTGCTGAACTTTGTCATCCTGGTCCTTGCGAGGATTGTGAGTTTATGCCAAGCAAGATCAGGTCTTGTTATTGTGGGAAAACAAGCTTGCAGGATCAAAGGCAAAGTTGTTTGGACCCAATTCCAACTTGTTCGGAGATATGTGCGAAGTTCCTTCCTTGTCAAGTGCACCGATGTGACCAAGCCTGTCATGCTGGTAGTTGCCCACCTTGTCTGGTTCTTGTCACCCAAAAATGCCTCTGTGGATCAACTTCTCGGAGGGTGGAATGTTACAAAACAACACTTGAAAATGAGAGATTCATGTGCGATAAGCCTTGTGGTCGTAAGAAGAATTGTGGTAGACATCGGTGTAGCGAGCGATGCTGTCCATCCTCAAACTCCAATAATCTTGGCTCTGGCGGTCAGGATCCACACTCTTGCCAAATGACATGTGGGAAGAAGCTGAGGTGCGGGCAACATTCTTGTGAATCTTTTTGTCACAGTGGTCACTGCCCTCCATGCTTGGAAACAATCTTTACTGATTTGACATGTGCTTGTGGAAGAACTTCAATACCACCTCCATTGCCATGTGGTACACCTCCGCCTTCGTGTCAACTTCCATGCTCAGTTCCGCAGGCTTGTGGTCATTCATCTTCTCACAGCTGCCATTTTGGAGATTGTCCACCTTGTTCTGTTCTCGTGGCAAAGGAATGCATTGGAGGACATGTTGTTCTTAGGAATATTCCTTGTGGATCAAAAGATATCAGATGCAACAAACTTTGCGGCAAGACCAGGCAGTGTGGGTTACATGCATGTGGGAGAACGTGTCACCCAGAGCCATGTGATGCATCATCTGGAGTTGAACAAGGTTTTAGGGCCTCCTGTGGGCAGACATGTGGGGCACCTCGGCAAGACTGCAGGCATACATGTACTGCACCTTGCCACCCCTCTGCACCATGTCCTGATGTTAGGTGTGATTTTCGAGTTACAATCGCGTGCTCGTGTGGCCGGCTAAGTGCAACTGTTCCTTGTGATGCTGGTGGCTTCAATGCTGATACAGTTTTTAAAGCTTCTATTATCCAAAAATTGCCTGTACCCCTTCAACCAGTGGAATCAGCTGGCAAACGGATTCCTCTTGGACAAAGGAAGCTTATGTGTGATGACGAATGTGCTAAGTTGGAGCGCAAACGAGCTCTTGCAGATGCCTTTGATATAACTCCCCCCAACTTGGATTCTCTTCATTTTGGTGAGAATTCGGTTACATCAGAGCTGATTTTTGACCTATACAGGCGTGATCCCAAGTGGGTTCTAGCTGTAGAGGAGAGATGCAAGTTTTTGGTACTTGGCAAGAACAGAGGAACAACGACGGGCCTTAAAGTTCATGTGTTCTGCCCAATGCTGAAGGATAAGAGTGATGCTGTCAGGATAATAGCAGAAAGATGGAAGCTTGCTATTAGTGCTGCTGGTTGGGAGCCCAAGCGTTTTATTGTGGTTCATGCTACTCCCAAATCTAAACCACCAGCTCGTATCATTGGGGTTAAAGGGTCAACCGGTAGTGGGTCAGTACATCCTCCTGTTTTTGATCCCCTTGTGGATATGGATCCAAGGCTAGTTGTTTCTTTCCTGGATTTGCCCCGAGAAGCAGATATTAGTGCATTGGTGTTGAGGTTTGGCGGGGAGTGTGAACTTGTTTGGATGAACGACAAGAATGCATTGGCTGTATTTAGTGATCCTGCTCGAGCTGCAACGGCGATGAGGAGATTGGATCATGGATCAATTTATACAGGGGCTTCTACCTTTGTTCACAGTGGTGGAGCATCAGCCCCTAATAATGCATGGGGAGGAACAGGGCCGAGTTCTGCACTAAAGGCAAATCCGTGGAAGAAGGCTGTGACGCAGGAGGTTGGTTGGGGGGAACATTCATGGGGTGGTGATGAGTCTCTTGGTGGCACTTCAAATCCAGGCTCTGCATGGAAAGACAAGGATACTCCAATTCCTGCTTCGATTAACCGCTGGAGTGTTCTTGATTCTGAAACGGGTGTAAACTCAACATCTGGAGCAGTTCAATCTGAAGATCCTTCAAAGCTGGCTGGAGTCCAATCCATGTCAACTACGGATTCGAATGCTACCAATTCAAATTCAGCTGGGTTGTTGGGTAGGAGTTTAAATGAAACAGAGCCATTAGAGGTTGTAGATGATTGGGAAAAGGCTTATGAATGAGATAGAAGAGAGAAGTATATACCTATCCAGTTTGCACCTGATATTATCAAATAGGTGTTATTATGATCTTTCTATTTTTTCCCTTCTTGCCAGGGCGATGCCCCTTCAACTGGATGGGTAAAGCTTTATCCCCTTTTTTTTGTAAAGAGGAGTTCCCAATCACTGCCAAGCGTGCACTCTTGAAACACCATCGAAGTTTCTTTAATTTCCCTTCCTTTGTACTGGACTTGATCAATAAACATGTTATCAATTTGAATATTCAATGTAAAAGATTGTTCTTTAGCTTTTCAACTTCTCTGCTTGCATGACATTCTCAAGTCTTTGATTTACTGAAGATATGAAATATTTATATTCTTTTAGGTGGACATGGGTGGAAGTAACAATTTGGGTCACTATTTCCAAGTGGTAACTTCTTATTCGTTGTGATGCTATAGTTGTCAAAAGATTGACCATTTTGTATGCAATCTGCAATAAACTTGTATGATTGAAGGCTGCTGCTTTAGTCCTCCTATTACTGTATGTTCTTCTGTATTACAACGTGTACAGACATCAGTTGTTAGGTTCTTCTTGCAAAGAGGACTGTGTTGGATATTGTTGATATTCTTATTTTTCAGCAGGATGCTTAGGGTTGCTGGATTAGCTGCTGTGCCGTGGTACAATGATGACAACAGGGCAGTTATGTATATGCCAATAATGTATTGAACGTGTTGCAGGCACGCGGTGCTGGCAGTCGGCAGAGGTACAAAGAACTGCACTTCAAATTCAAATACAAGAAGAATAAAGCAACAATCCAAAGTCTGAATTACATCCTTTACAATCAATGAATTACCTATTCCACACCTTTGATATGAAGATTTATGCCATAAATATTTCATAGTTGCATCTAACATTTTGAAGACATTATTTTACAATCAATGAGTTAACGTCCAGCTCAGACTACTATTAATTTCTTAACGAAAAAGGACGAGTTTGGAACATACGAATAGTCGAGTGATTATTTTGTAACTTTTAATAGTTGAGATACTTAACAAAGTAATGTCCTATAATCGGTGGACTATTTTGTAACTTTTAACATTCGAGAGACGATCAACAAAGTAATACTCTATAGTCGAGGGACTCAACAAAATAATGTTCTATAATCGAGGGACCATTTAGGTACTTTACCATTGAACTTATTTAATAAGTAAATACATGTTTTAAATAAGAAATTTTATGAGATTAGTTTTTTTAGTGACCAAATATTTTGACTCAGATTTTAGAATTATGATAGAGAATTATTTTAAAAAGATCTAATACTTTTGTAGTCTCTATAACTTTTAGAGTTTACGTTATAAATATCAGTAAATTATGTATATTGAAAGAGTGGTTTGGGATACTTCAAGTTTCGGTATAGATACTGAATTTTAGGATACATGAGATATCGTGTATTTATACTACTCAAAATCTCTACATTATAATGGATTATTATTCTTTTTGGTATAGATACCGTCTTATTTTATGTTGATATCATTTTTTTCCGCTAATAAATTCCTAATAATTCTTCATCTCAATTTGAGCCCTCACTTTGTGTTGGTTTAAAGATACCACACTGTTTTTGCAAGTCTTATGTAAATGCAAATCTGTTTTATTCATTAGATCACCGATCAAACATGTACAAGGACATGCACATGTGCATTCTTCAATGGAAACAAATACACAATTTACGAGTGCTTCTTCTCCTTCACCGGTCCCCTGGGTATCTTGTTAAGGACTCTTGAATCAAACCTCTTGTACATTTTGGTCACCTTTCTGCTCATTTGTCCTGCATGATAGTCGACTTCCTTCTCGTATCGACTGTACAGATACGGCAGCGTTCCCATGCTCACAAACCCTTCCAAGTTCATTCAATGCAACAAATACTAATCACTTCTATGCTCTAAAATCATCAACACTCATGATATGCTGATTCTTACCTATGAAGAGGAGATTCACGAAGTCGAAATACGATCCGATCACCGATGTGATGTACAAAGAAATGATCACCTGCAAATCACCATGAGTTTAAAAGCTTGAAGGGCGTAGAGGAACAGGAAAAAGAAATGGAGATTTTGATGGTAGTGGTACCAGGAAGAAGTTGACAGGCTCATTTCCACCAGCAATGTGGAGGAAATTTTTCAAGAACTGATTGAACTTCCAATGGAAGACGGAAGCAACTTCATAGAAGGCGGTTTCATTTGACAACAACTCGGGAATATTCGGACGATTCCTGGGGATTAAAAATCGTGAATCAAATCAACAAAACAAGGGTTTCCATGTAGGCATGCAGGTGGTGAAAATAAAAGAAGTAACCGTAATGTTGTAATTGTATATTGTACCATCCCATATAATCAGCAGAAATGCACCAGATGAAGACGACAAGCATGGTGGCGATGGAGATATGGCAGAGGAGGGTGACCAAATTGTACTCAACCACCTCGAAAAGGAACCAAATCGTCGTCACTCCCAACAGTAAAGCGGCCGACACCTTCGGCTTCCTCCACAGCAGCACATCAGCCACTGAAAATTTTCGTTTTTTTCCCAATCAGACTCAAAATGTTGCATGAATTTTATATATTATATGAAGAGAGAGTACCTTGGCCTCCTCCAAGAATGGCGTCCATTGGCCTTTGACGTCCAAAGAGCTTTACCTGTGGGGTGGCATCGTTGTCGGAGTCCGATGACGATTCGAATATCGGCATGGATGAATGCGTATATAGTTGTTGATGGTGAAATGGAATGGGATGTTTGTATGAATCGGCAGCTGAAGTGGAGCGATGTTATATACGAAAATGCATGGGGCGAAGTTCCAAGCTTGGGAGGAAAGCAAGTGAATAGTGGGAATGCAGAAGAAAGGAATGGCTTGGGGCATTTAATTTGATATTACTTTGCATGCCCGTCACTTTGTGAATCTTTGCTTACCAAACCCAATAGCTTCTTCTTAATTTATATAACCTTTTCATTGGCTCTAGTTTCAGATGCGCAAACACCAACACGTGTTTACTTGAAACTCGATTACCCAATATCGAAAATTCTTGATGAAACTCAGAAAATAAACATAATGTAATCTTTTGATCAAAGTTTTTCGTCGTTTGATCATTACGGTGTTGACGTGATAGTTAACGGTGCTGACCTGGCAGTTCATCTTTCATGTTTGAGTTATCAAGTTAGCCCATTTGTCATGTTTTTCGTCACGTTGTCAATCACCGTGGACCGTCACATCAGCACCGTAACAATCAACAACGAAAAATGTTGGTCAAATGACCACATTAAGTTTATCTTCTGAATTAGAAGACTACGTCAAAAGAAAAATAATACGATGATCATATTAATTTGTATGAATAAATAGATCTGCATACTTACAATAATGATGGTGGTTGGTTTGGTGGAACAATTTGACAAGTCTTTCGTTTGATTGGGTGAGACAACCCCTCTTATAGGAGGTGTATTCGATTCGGTTTGATTTGGTCTTTTAATAAAATATAAATTAAATTGTATTTTATGAGTTTTTAAAAATTGAAACTAAAATTGAAACCGAATGACATAAAAACTACGATGTTCGATTCGTTTGATTCAATTTTATGATTTTTGACTAATCATTGTTTTTCAAACTCGACATCCCAAGAAAGCAAATTTAAAACTTAAATCGACTCCAATTATATAAATTTAAATTCATAATTTCTTATTAGTTTTAAAATTTTATTTATTTAAATGACTTATAATAAATTCAAAATAAATTTGATATGGATAATTATTATCTTTTTTTAATTCGATTTGATTCGAGACAAACAATTTCCATATAAAAAATCAAAATTGAACCAAACCAAATTGCATAATTATAGTTCTAAATTGAACCGTAAAATGAAAAATCCAAATCAAACCGAACTGCATACTTTAGTTCGGGTCGATTTTTTTAATTTTCTCGATTTCATTGCGCATCCGTACCTCTTACATTGGTTTATTTTGTATACAGTGATAATAAGATAATATACGTTAAAAAATAGTTATTGACAACACACTTGTCAAGCTTGTTTATGAGATTTTTGTGGCCCTATGACAAACTTAAAAGTTGGACCTCTACTAATAGATATGCATAATGTCAAAAATAGCCCTCAATGTTTATCAAAATTATCATTTTGACCTTTTTTTTAGTATTTTGGCTCTTAACGTCTCATTTTAGGACAAAAAAGCCATTAATGTTTGACTAAATAGTCACTTTGGCCCTTATTCTTTGACTTCTAATGAGAATTTCTTGAGAATTGTTAAAGAATCGTGGCAAGAGCATTGTGAGGGTAATGATATCTCTGGTCGAGTGGTTGGAAAGAGGGATGAGCTTGAACATATTCAGCTTTTTAATCTCATTCATGTTGATCAAAGGAGATTGGATGATGAGAAGAGAATTTAGGCAGAGTTGGTGGATTTAGAAGTTGTTGAATTAGATTTTTATAGGTAATAGGGAGATTTGAATACTAGATTCTTCCATCAGAAAGTTGAATCTAATAAGAAGAGGAATACTATTAAAGTTATTAAAGATGAAAATGGGCAGTACTTTGATTTCTTTGATGGCATGGCTGCTGAGTTGGTGAATTTCTTCACTAACCTTATTGATATTATTGATCCTTTGGTCAAAGGTTGTTCTGTGGAGTGCTTGAAGTCTCTGTTGAATTACTCCTTACCTGTTGGAGTTTGGGAGATGCTTAATAGGTGGTTATTGATATTGAAATCAAAGAGGCTTTGTTTAGGCAAGGGAAGGATAAGAGCCCTGGTCCTGATGGATATACTTCTTGGTTTTTCAAAGTTGCTTGGGATATTGTAAAGGAAGACTTTTTGGCTACTGTGAGGTATTTTTCCCCTCATTGTTGTCTGCTTTTAATGCTACAACAATTGTTTTGGTTCCTAAGTCCTTGAATGCTTGTATGGCTAAAGAATTTAGGCCAATTTCTTGTTGTTCAGTGGTTTATAAAACCTTACCAGAATTCTTGTTACTAGACTAGCTTGTTTCTTTCTTGGTATGATCTCTGCTAGTCAGTCAATATTTGTTAAAGACAGGAACATAGTCGATAATACTTTGCTTGCCCATGAGATTGTTAGGGGCTATTCTAGGAAGAGTCTTTCTCCTAGATGTGTTATAAAGATTGATTTGCAAAAGGCATAAACTGGAATTTTTTGTTGGTTGTTCTTGAGGCAATGGGTCTTCCTGATGTTTTTGTGGTTTGATTAGGGCTTGTGTTACTACTCCTAAGTATTTTGTTTCTTTGAATGGAAGTTTGGTGGGGTATTTTAAAGGTTTAATAGGGGTTAGGAAAGGAGATCCATTGCCTCCTTACCTATTTGTTATGGTTATGAATGTTCTTTCTTCATTGTTAGATGTAGCTGCTAAGAAGGGTGTATTCAGGTTTCATCCTAAGTGTAAGAGAATTTCTTTTACTCGTCTCTGCTTCGTGGATGATCTGCTTGTGTTTGTCATGCTTCTCTTGATGCTGTTCTTCGGGTTTTGTGTACTTTGGAGAAGTTTTATGAGCTTTTTGGTCTTAGGTTGAATGCTTTGAAAACTGAGCTCTTTGCTTGTAGTTTGTATGATGGTGAGCTTGAGCAGATTCAGAGAGTCACTGGTTTTCGGTTGGGGTAGCTCCCTGTCAGTACCTTGGTGTGCCTTTGGTGACTAGAAAGCTTATTGGGAAGGGCTGCTCAGTTTTTCTAGTGAGGATTAAGGAGAAGTTTAGTCACTGGTATAATAGCAAACTGAATTTTGGTGGGCGTTTGCAGCTTATTAAAGCTGTTCTGTTTAGTATTTTTAATTATTGGAGTAGGCAACTCATTCTTCCTAAGGGTGTTATTAGGGACATTGAGAGACTTTGCATACGGTTCTTTTGGAAGGGTAGTGATGTCTCGGCCAGAGGTGCTCAGGTGAGTTAGAGTCAGGTATGTTCCTTGAAATCTGAAGGTGGTTTGGGGCTAAAGAATCTTGTTGTTTGGAGTATAGCTTCTTGCATTTTGCTTGTAAAAATATTATTGCAGGAGAAGGTTCACTTTAGATTGCTTGGGTTAATAAATATAGCTTCAAATCTGTGGATTTTTGGAATGTTGAGTGTAAGGCTCATTTTGGTTGGATTCTTAGGAAATTGTTAAAGTTGCGTGATGAGGCTAGACGTTTGTTATATCCTAATGGTAATTGGGCTCACATTAAAGAAATGTGGATTTGAGAGAATATTCGTGATAAGAAGGAAAAGGTTAGTTGGCATCGCCTTATTTGGTTTCCGACTCATATTCTTAAGTTTTCCTTAGTTTCTTGGATGACCGTTCTTGATAGATTGCCTACCAAGGATAGACTTGTTCAGTTTGGTATTGTTACTAATGATGTGTATGGCTTGTATGACATTGGGGTGGAATCTCGAAACCATCTATTTTCGAATTGTTCTTATACGATGGAGGTTTGGGGTGTTGTTTTGCACTCTCGTGGTTTGAGGCATGAGCTATTTTGCTGGGAGGATTCTCTTTGTTGGGTGATAACAAATCTAAAGGGTAAGCCTCTTTTGGTGCATATTCTTAAATTGGATTGGATGGTTTTGTGTATTTCATTTGGGAAGAGCGTAATAATAGACAATTTAGAGGGTTGATTCGTTCGGTTGATACGATTGTCAATAGAATAAATAAGGTTGTTAGGATTAAGTTGTATAGATGTTGCATGAACAAGTTGGATGGTGTAAATAGGCAATTGTGCATTGAATGAGGATTGATTAGTTGTTTGTACTGTTATTTGTAGCAGTTTGTCTGTTTTTTTTTGTGGATGAATATAATTTTACTTATCTAATTTTTTTAAGGTTTTGTTTATGTTGTGATGATAAATTTAAGATCATTGAGTTGGACAATCGGGTTCGGCCCCACTTATATGAATATTCATAGCATTAAATTGAAAGGATTGTCCACTTGAAAATTAGAAAAAAATATTTTTAATAGAAAGTATTTGGGGAAACTCCAATGGCCTGCCTAAAGTAAATAATTCTAAGAAATGAGGCAATTTGGGGACTTTTTTTTTATCTCTTTTCTCTCTTAACATAATATTCTATTGTTTTATCAGTTTCTTTTAAACTACACTATTGATCCCTTATTTTCTGGTTCATCTGATTTTAGTCACTAATTCAAAAAAGGAACTATTTTGATTCTTTACGTTATCGGTTTGCTCGGTTTTAGACCCTCAAACATTAACTATCATTAACAAAAGTTTGAGTTGGCAATTAAAAAGTAAAAAAAAATGCACGTGTCTTTCTTCTTCTTCTTCTTCCATCACTTGTTAATCAAAGCAACTACTTTGATGGGTATGAGCTGCCATCTGTTTATGGCCTATGATTATGAGCTACATGAAATTAAAACTGAACAGATCGATAATGTGAGAATCGAAACCGCTTTTTTTTAAAGATTATAACCAAAAGTTGGATGAACAAAAAAAATAAGGGACCACCCGTATAGTTTATCTCTTTTTATATTGTGAACCTAATCCAAATTGGAATTTTACTAACCGTTAGAAGGACATGAAAGGGCTTCCTTACGTCGTTTTTTCTAATTTTTTTGTAATAAAGAGGAACGGTTGACATGTCAAAAAGTCATCACATGGAACAAATAATTAGGCTACTACGTGGTTGTTACCCCGCTGTTTCCACCAACGTTCCAAGAACCTTCTTTTTATTATTTTTATTAATATTACAAACTCTCCATGTATTTAAACCCATCGCAACCTCGTTTCAAGACCATGACATGTTCCCAAACCCTAAACCCATTTTCTCTCTCTTATGTTTCTTCCGGCATGATCCCTTAGTTTCGTTTGTTTTTCTTTTTGGTCCTTCAATCTTTGAGAATTCACCTGGAAAATGGCGGCTAAACGGCTTCTTAGTGAATCTTGTTCCGACAAAGAAGAGCCAAACGAGAAACGGATGAGACCTAAACCTTCTTTTGCATCGTAATGTTTCAAATCCAATAGCCCTTTTGTGCAATTTTACCAATAATGTGCGTCTCTTCTTTCATCAATACTGATCTTATTTCTCTGCCTATTAACAGAGTAATTGGGCAAGCTGTTATCATGAATTGCTTGTATACAGCCTTGGAACCTGTCCTTAGAAGAGTGGTATGCAAAAACTAAGCTTCATAATAAGGGCAAGCTGTTATTATTCTCGATAAGAATAAGGAAGGCCGTTATTAGATACATTGATTCTCGGTTTGCTAGAGACTTTGATAAGAGAAGATCTCCCATAAGTTACATCTTCACAATTGGAGGTTGGGCCACTAGTTGGAAAGCTACCTTACAAATTATGGTTGTTTTGTCGACTATTGAAGTTGCGTACACAATTACCGATGCCTAAAAAATGATTTGGTTAAAGGGTCTCTTTGGTGAAATAAGTGAAGACATTCAAGTGATGTGGCCGAGTTGTATGTAAGATGCGTTCAGGTCCTTAATAAGAATAATTTGATTATGAAAGCATAGCCACGTACATATGTCTACTCATGATAGAATGGATTGGTCACATGCATAAACAATAATCTCATGCATTGCACGAGAAAAAAAAACTAGATTTCACTGTGTCTCTTCCCTTCTGTTTTGATTATTTATGTACAACAAGCATACTTGCAAATAAAAGTAGGGCAGGGCAAACTACATTAGGGGTGATTGATTAAACGGCTGTCCCTTGAAGGTGATATATCACATCATCTCATTGATGGACTTGTTTAATTCACCATTATCCTCCTGTGATGAAGGATGTCGGAGATTTGATTCCAACATGTTCAATCGGATCCCATTTGATTCCAACATGTTCAATCGGATCCCATTTTCACTATGTGTGCTCAAATAAGTTTGACTTGTTTGCCAATTGCTACCATTTGGCGTATATCCCTCAGTCGGACCATTTGTCAAATACACATTTTGTTGAATTGATCTCACCATCACATCTTGTTGATTAGCATATTGAACTAACAGGTCCTCACCTGTACACAAAAAATTTCTTATAAATATTGGTAAAAGGCCTTCAATGATAGGGTAATGAATACTAATGGTCCCGACTATAAGATGATGTATTGGTGAGTCCCTCAACTAAAAAAAGTTACAAAATGGTATTCTGACTATAGGATGTTGCTTTGTTGAGTCCCTCGACTATTAAAAGTTATAAAATGATGCTCCGAAAATAAATTTTTTTAGTCTCCCGACTATTAAAAGTTACAAAATGGTCACCTATTTATTCATTGTGATCCAAACTCGTCCTTTTCCGTTAAAAACTTGATGGTGATTTGAGTTGGACATTAACATGTTGATTGTGATATAACACAATATGATCTTAGAATCTCAAACAACTTTAATATCCCAATTAGCATGTTAACGTCCAGCTCAAACAGCCCTCAATTTTTTTAATGGAAAAGGATGAATTCGAAACATAATAAATAGTCGGTTGACCATTTCGTAACTTTTAATAGTTGGGGGACTCAATAAGTAATATCCTATAGTTGGAGGACTATTGTGTAACTTTTAATAGTCAAATGACTCGATAAAGCAATGTTATATAGTCATGGGACCATTTGTGTACTTTACCCTTAATAATAAAGGATCTCAAGTTTAATGGTATGAAAGCTGTTTGAAAAGGAATTGATTACCTTGTGTGAGCAGGCCAACCTCACTGGAAATTCCTTCTACTTCTTCCAAGGACGACCAATTTACATATGCTTGTCTCACCAAATTTTCAAGATATCCCTGCAAATTGCAGATGGCATACATAAGCTTGTATGAACATACGAGTAAGTAACACTTGCGGCCATGAAAACAATTTTAGGGATGGAATTAATAGAACATACTCTGTTAATGCTGGTTAGGCTTTGTATAGGATATGCAGTCCCATTAATCTCAGCTTTCATGAGTTGGCAAATGGGGTTCAAGAAGATCCTGCAATTGGGGCCTCGAGACACATAGTATTTGTTGCCCATAACACATGTTTTGGCGTGCTTGATTGTCACATCCCACATTTTCTCGGACATCCCTGGCCCTAAAATCTGTTCAACATTATCGAAAACGAATTATTTCGGTCTTGTTTATAGAAGAAAAAACCATAAACCCTAAATCTTAAATCCGGATACAGATACTGACCCTTCGAAGCTTGGCCGGATCGACAACAGACAGTTTCAAGAAGTCCTGGACAGTGTGGAGGCCCTCAGAGGAAAGCTTTTTGTGGAATGCTCCATCCTTTCCAATCTTTTCTAGGCGCCAAACTTCATCCCCCAACATTGGTGGATGATGTTTCTTGTACACTTCAATCCACAAACAAATAAAAAAAAAGACAAATTCTCAGGCAGAGATAGTGCAGTCCTTTGTTGACTGAAAATGACTTTTAACTGTTTTAATCAGCAGTTTCACATAAAAAAATTACCTTTTTCTCATAGTTATTGCTAAAAAAATAATGAGTAAATAGAAGAATGAATGAATACTTACGTTCGCCGCGATGGTCTTTGACAACAAAAGCTTCAGTCATGGCTTCACGAATGCGAACACCTTGGAAACTCCCTTGTGCTACTTTGGCTCCGATTCTGAATTTCCGACTCCGAATCCAGCTCGAGTTATCGGTAAATTCGATGTCTCCGATCGAAGCACTTCCATCCCTCACGGTCACTGCTGACTCTCCGGAAAGTAAAGGTCGTTTCCCGGTTCTCTCCCGCACGATGTTCCTGTTGAATTCTTCACTAGTCCAATCGTCACCTTCCCCCGACGGAAAGTCACCGTCGAGAACGACTATATCGACCTTAATCGGATTCGGGAGAAGCACCGGAGCCATTTGGTCGCCTCTAGTATCTACCAAAGCCACTTGAAGCTGGTTACTTTCTTTATCCATGATCTTGCTTCCGGTGAAGATGGGCAAGGAAAGGCCTTTGGCGAATATTAGTTTAAGCGTTGACGGTTCTGCTGCTTGAATTCGAAGCGACGGAGACCGGCTGAAGGAACGGAGCCGGTGTCGAAGACTGCGGTCCACTTCCTCCGTCACCTGAGAACTCGTTCATAAGGGTTCAGGTATTGGTTTATATTGCATAAAATGATAATTCTAAACAATGAATTATGTAAATTGCCCTTATTATGAAGCTTAGTTTTTGCATACCACTCTTCTAAGGACAGGTTCCAAGGCTGTATACAAGCAATTCATGATAACAGCTTGCCCAATTACTCTGTTAATAGGCAGAGAAATAAGATCAGTATTGATGAAAGAAGAGATGCACATTATTGGTAAAATTGCACAAAAGGGCTATTGGATTTGAAACATTACGATGCAAAAGAAGGTTTAGGTCTCATCCGTTTCTCGTTTGGCTCTTCTTTGTCGGAACAAGATTCACTAAGAAGCCGTTTAGCCGCCATTTTCCAGGTGAATTCTCAAAGATTGAAGGACCAAAAAGAAAAAAAAAACAAAACTAACGGATCATAACGGAAGAAACAGAAGAGAGAGAAAATGGGTTTAGGGTTTGGGAACATGTCATGGTCTTGAAACGAGGTTGCGAGGGAGTTTAAATACACGGAGAGTTTGTAATATTAATAGTAATAAAAAGAAGGTTCTTGGAATGTTGGTGGAAACAGCAGGGTAACAACCACGTAGTAGCCTAGTTATTTGTTCCATGTGATGGCTTTTTGACATGTCAACCATTTCTCTTCGGAGTAAATTACGTATTTAGTGCTTAAATTATTAGTTTTGGTCTTTTTTAGTACCTAATTTTTTTTCAAAACCATACCGAATGTTTAATTTTGTTTCATTTTTATACCACGTCATTAAAAAATTAACGGACGGACTGATGGGCCATAACTCTGATGGAAGGATGACCAATCTGAATGGTGGACCACGAGAGAATGACGAGTCGACCAACATAGTCCAGTTTCAAGCCCATCGAACGATTGACGATGGAGATTGGAGGACGATGAAGTCGAAGAGTCCATCGTCGATTTGGGGAGATTGAGGCATTTTCCAGTGAATCAGAAGTCGAATCACGTTAAAGGGGTTGAAAAGGTGCGACCTGGAAAGTTTAGGTTTCATCGACTGACGAATGCGACGATTGATGATTGTAGACGCGGTGACCATCTATCCCGTCCTTTAAGTTTTTAATGACGGGATACTAAAATGAAACAAAAACTAAACGTTAGTTATGGTTTTGAAAGAATTAAAAGTTTATGTATTAACACGGATCAAAACTAATAGTTTAGGTACTAAACACGTAATTTATCATTCTCTTTATTACAAAAAAAAATAGTAAAAACGGCATATCGAAGCCCTCTTATATCCATCTAACTGTTAGTGCAATTCCAACTTGGATTACGTTTGTAATAAAAAAAACAAGAAAGTTTGGGAAAAACAATAGAATATTATGTTTAAAGGGAAAAGGACCAAAAAGTCCACAAATTGCATCATTTCTTAGAAGTATATATAGGGATGGGCATTTAAACCCGACCCGACGGGTTCCGACCCGATCGGGTTGGATTTTTCTAAAAAAATCGGGTTCGGGTCGGATTTTTTATGTGGTGTTCGGGTTGGGTTCGGGTTTAGAGTGAAAATTCGACCGACCCGACCCAAAAAAATATAATTTTACCCTGTATATTTAGGGCTAATTACAATAATACATCTCTATATATATTTTTTTTCAATTTAGTCACTATTTTTATTGAATAAAAATAATTTTTTATTATTATTTCGGGTCGGATCTGGTTTCTATGTCATATATTCGGGTCGGGTCGGGTGAAATCTTGTTTTGGTCGGGTCGGGTCGGTCTCGGGTGGAGACTCTCTTGTTCTCGGGTCGGGTCGGGTGGACCAAAAATCCGACCCAACCCGACCCATGCCCATCCCTATGTATATACTTTAGGTAGGCCATTGCGAGTGCCCCTAAAGCTTTTTCTTTTAACAATCTTTTCCACTTAATGATATAGATACTCATACAAGTGGGTCAAACCCGATTGTCCGACGGATCTCAATACAGGTTATTTATGAAAAGGATAAATTACACCAATTATCACTGAACTTTACTTTGTACTTTAAACCCGTTCAATTTACTCACTAAATTTAACAATATTAGCATTTTTGTTCACTCAGTTGTTTTCTCACTAAACGGTGTTATAAATGAATTGTTATATAGATGCAAAACGACGTCGTTTTGGTGAAAATTTTGCTTTTCGAAAACGATGTCTTAATGTCGTTAAATATTTAACGGCTGAGTGACCAAAAATGCTAATTGTACTAAATTCGGTGAGGAAAGTGGATGAATTTAAAGTATAATAAGTGAAATAGGAGAGAGAGTAAAGTGTAGTGATGATTGGTGTAAGTTACCCTTATATAAATTGTATACATTTATAAATTTTGATAGGATAAATTTATCTGGTAAATTATTAACGGTTTATTTCTTCTATTTAGACAAAAAAAAAGCACAATCAATAAAAAAATTAATCGTTGACTAATGTTTTTCTATAAGAGAGATGAAGACATCATGGGGAATATGAGGGTGAAGGAGGAGGCAATGGACATGATCCCTTCCTCATTCATTGTTGAGTATTTATAATGACTTTAACTGATGGTGTCAAGTATAGGGTCATTATGTTTACTCGTAAGTCACTAAATTGAACAGATATGATAGTAAGATTTTTTTGATTTTGTCCTCATAGATCATGTGGGTTTGTCAGAGGTCTCGTCTATGCGTTGTAGTCGACTTAGATCATACGAGCGTCATAATGGTTGTGGGTGACAGATTTTCGAAGTATGAGACATTCATTCCAATGTCCAAGGTGTGTCCAATCGAGGAGCTATCTCGGCATTTCCTCAAACCCATGGTGAAGTATTGGGAAGTGCCAAAGAGCTTCATTAGTGACAGAGACACACGGTTCACTGGGAGAATTTGGACCGATTTATTCAAGTTCGCACAAACCGTACCACCATTATGAGGAGGATTCGAGTCGAGGCAAGTCTCATCGGGTGCCAGTCAAAGTGAAGATCTCTTATGAGAACGAGGTTCGAGAGATCTAGGTAGATAAAGTTATTCGACGACAAGACATCGCCCAAAACATGAGTATTTTGTTTTTTATGGAAGAAACTTCTCGACCATGAGGGGAGTTGAGAACAAGACGAGGGACTTTAGCAATTTAGATCCAAGTTAGACTAGTACCATTCTAGTCGAGTGACGAGGGCGTCATCAAATTTAGTGGAAGAGAATGTTACGGGCCATGAACCCATGATCGAGCCAAACACAAACCAAGCAGCCTAAAAGTACCTTAGTGGCGTGCTGGACCTTTCCAAACCCATCTAGACAAGTCCATTCTATAGAGATGAATAGTCATACACAATTATGGCTAGTAGATCACTTGGTTAGTGCTCAATCCTCTTGATTCTTTCCATAATTTTTGTATTCGTCTATCTAATGCATGTTTTCTTTAGCTTGACATAGTTCCTTTAATGAAGAGATCTTGTAAATATGATTCCCTTAGAGTGGGGGTTGTACAGATATAATTCGATCTGGACTGTCGATGTGTTGTCTGCATGATTATTAGTTTTTGACAAAAATGGTATATGACGTGTTTGTACTTTGAAAAAAAATAATGTGTTCTTTGAATTATTTTTATACTTAAATGTGGTCTTTAAACTTAGAAAATAAATTCAATGTGATCATTTGACCACGATTTTCGTCATCGATGGTTACGATGTTGGGGTGGTATTTCACGATGTTAATATAATAGTCTACAGTGTTGATGTGGTGGTCTATGGCGGCTGGTGACGTGGTTGATGACATGGCAGATGTACTAAATTACATTTTTGTCGAATTCAATGGTCAAATTGATTTTTTTAAGTTCAAGGACTTGTTTAATTTTTTTAGTAAAAAATAAAAATATTTTAAATTTAAAAATGTTCAAGAATAAATATAAAAATTAAATGATTTAAAAAATAAAAATATATTATTATTTTTAACCTTGAATTTTATTGACTTTTATATATATAAACATGAACTCGTTCATCCCGTACAAATTTTATTTTATATATTTACCTCTAATCATCTTAAACTCAAAGTGTCTTTGTAATTCTATTTTAATAATATTTTATTAAATTAAATTAAATTAATATTATAAATTATTATAGAAATTGAATTTAAAAGTTATAAAATTAAAACTTATATAAATCATGAAACTATATAATTTTAAAAAATATAAAATATAGTTATATAATTAAGAAGGGAATTTTTGTAAATATAACATGATAAAGGTAAATAAAATTCGCTTAAACTTAACATAAAAAAATTGTCGCTCTCTCATTGAGAAGATAAGGGATAAATTGAATTTGTGGGTTAACATACACCTAAGCTTTGCTGGTAGGTTGCAGTTGATTCGCGCTATTTTATTCAGCATTGCAAATTATTGGTGTAGGCATGTTATGCTTCCTCAAGTGGTGATAAAGAAAATCGAGCAACTTTGTTCTCAATTCTTCTGGAAAGGAGCTGATGTGTCTGCAAAGGGAGCCCGAGTCAGTTGGAGGCAGATCTGTTTATTAAAATCTAAGGGTGGCCTGGGTGTTTTTGATCTAGGTGGCTAGAACAAAGCTTGCTTAGTGAAGTTGATAAGAAATTTGTTGGCCGAGGATGGATCCTTATGGGTGGCTTGGACCCATTCCTACGTGATCAAGGGGGCTGACTTCTGGCAGATGAGCACCCCTATTAATGCTAGCTGGAGTTTTAAATGCTTATTAAATTTGAGACCAGCCATTTCTCACTTGTTTGCTGATCCATACAAAGAGCTTAGCATGAGGAAAGTCTGGGAAGATATGCGCATTGCGGCTTCGAGAGTCTTGTGGCACCGTTTGGTATAGTTTCCTGGTCGCATTCCAAAGCACAGTCTTATCCTATGGATGGCTGTCTTGGATAGGCTCCCTACTCGAGCTAGACTTATGCGGATGGGATTAGCTATTGAAAGCGTTAAGTGCTTGCTCTATGACATTGAGCCTGAAACTAGAAATCATATTTTCTTTTAGTGTAGACAGGCTAAAGCTTTATGGGAGGTTGTTCTCTCCCTATGCGGTATCAACAGAGGTGCGAGCAGCTGGAATGGGGAGCTGGCTTGGGCTAACCACTGTTTTAAAGGTAAATCACTTATTATGCGAGTGTTGAAGCTAGCGCTGGCTGGGTATGTTTACAACGTCTGGAAGGAGAGGAACAATAGATTGTTTGGAGGCAGGGTTAGATTGGTGGATGATATGCTAGAAGACATTCGAATATCGTAACAGTACCTAAATCAATTTAACTCATTTGTCGCGTCATCAACCAAGTCACCAACAATCATGGATCACCATAACAGTACCTGAAGTGGCATGTCGATGTCGTAACGATCAAAGACGAAAACCTAAATCAAATAGCCACATTGAATTTATTTTCTAAATTTGAAGATCACTTTAAGTGTAAAAATAACTCGATGACCACATTGATTGTTTTTTTAAAGCGTCGGATATCTTTTTACCTATTTTTTTAAAATTAAAATGAGGAAGTTAAGTCAAATAACTACTCAGTAGCATTAGAAAAATAATTCGGATGAAAAAGATTCTTCTCAATCCAATCAAAGCACTCATCTCAATATTATTGAATTCCTTCCCAAAGAATTTTTGAAATTTTATCATTTAATAATTTCACTTTTTTTTTTGGTGTTATTATTTTCTAAAATAATTTTATGAATAAATTTAATAATTTTTTATTTAAAAATTAAATGAAGTCTTGAACTAACAATTAAAATGATTTATGTTCATTAACTCAACCAAAAAAAAAATCATAATCCCAAAATCAACTAAATGTCATCGTCCTTTGTTTTATTTTAATAATATATACAAATATGAACAAATTAAATTACCCATGCAAAGTTGTTATCCTTTATAAAAAAAATTCAATCATTTTTTACTGAATTAGTATTTAGGGTAAAATACGCATTTAGTATCTAAGTTATAATTTCAATCCATTTTAATACCTAAACTTTAAATTTATTCAAAACTATACCTAATGCTCAGTATTCATTTCATTTTAACACCCGTCATTGAAAACTTAACATGTTTACTACCTAAACTATTAATTTTGATCCATTTTAATATATAAACTTTCAATTTTTTCAAAACGTAACATTAAATTTTGAACGGGTATATTCAAAACAAAAACTAAATTTTTTTACACTAAAATGAAACAAAACTAAACTAAACTTTAGGTATGATTTTAAAAATATTAAAAGTTTAAATACTAAAACATATCAAAATTAATAGTTTAAATACTAAACACATAATTTACCCTAATATTTAATTAACAGATGATGTAGGTAACAGGAAACAGCATTTCTCTAGAATGTGCAACCAATGAATCTTGACCTGCAAATGAACCGAATGTTTATGTTCGTTTATTTAAACAAACCTCTTTGAACTCACAATCATACGCCAGCAAATGCATTCCACATACCACAAACTAAATCATAGAGAAAATAAATCCATACAACTTTGCTTAACTAAATGTCAAAATTTTAAATATCCTAAAAAGGGGGGATACCAAAGTCATAATGTGTCACAACACTTCCAAAAGGATTCCTCTATGACTCCGTTGCTGGGAATTCAAACACAACATCCTTCCCAGCAAGCTTCCTGTAAACAGCAGAAAACGTCTTGAGCTTATACTCGGTGTTGTTCCGTTCCTTTGGATCCAAAAAGACCTGCCCAAGAAGCGAGACAATGAATGATAAAACATTACACCTACAAAAAGTTAACCACCTACTCGCAGTATCACAATTCTTTTAATCATCACCTGCTTTTTCATCGATATTTAACAACCCAATGCTAGAATTCGTATTGGTACTAATAATTAAATTACAACAATGGTGTACCTTCATTGTCTTCGATCCATCAATTCCATATCTGGTGCGCTTCCCAACAATCTCGGCAGGTAAAACAACATCCTCTAGCATTGCCTCATGTACAGCAGTCAACGTGCGGCTGCGTGGCCTCTGGACTGCAGAACCTTTCTTTGGAGGCCTCAATATCCTCCGGGTGGCCATTAGAATCACATCCTATCGTATACGCATAAACCAAGTGCATCAATTAAACCAATTAACAAATAGATTCTGGGTAAGAATAATTCAACAATGAAAGCATCTTATGCAACAAATGGAAATCAACTTTTGTTAACTAAATTTTGTATTAAATGGGGATGCACTTGATAAATTGTACACTAGAAGACCTAATTCAAATTTTCACTCAAGCTGCTCTTTCTCTCATCGATTCATTAGACAGAAGGAACAAATTTGAAGGAGAATGGAGTAACTTATTCATTTCCTCACCTTGCCGCTGAACTTCTTTTCGAGTTCCCTCACAAGCTTAACATGAAGCTTGCGGAAAGATTTCCTCAATCTATACGGGACATGGATAACAACAGCTTTCCGGGCCCCGGAAACATCAATTTGGCTGTGCTTGCAAACAAATTTATATGAAAATTAAATGATGGGAAGATACATAAGTGAAATAACAAGTATTGCATCCCAATCTATCATTCTTACACAGCCGAATTAATGTAGAGATCTTTAAGGTCACTTTTCAGATCTTGATTGGTATTCTCCAAATCAAAGAAGGCCTGTTACAATGCAAAGGTAATGACATCATACCAGGACTACACATTTATAGGAACCCTTTGAGTAAAAGTAAGAACAGTTCGAAACCTGGGCAACCGACTCCTCGAATTCCGTCGGTTCAGCATCCCTATCTTTGTGTATCTTCTTCCTCGATGTATACATCTTCAAGATCTGCACAGATGGAAGCATATGAAGATTAAATGAATTTAGCAGATTGAGAATCAAACGAAAAAGGTCCAATTACAGCATCAGTTTGAAAAAGAAATTGGATCAAATATCATCCCTACACAAATTCGAGTCAATAAGAGAAGCAAATCATCACGATTGAAAGTGTTGCACACAAACAGACCACAGAAACTTAGTACATCTTGCAACAATCAGAGTAACAGAAAATCATCATAATCATCATTTTCTTTTCTTTAAGGCAACTAAACAGGTGATATGAAACTGGAAGATGAAGAAAGTACCTGTAAGATGAGCGAAAGCCGAAAGAGAGACTAGAGGGACAACAGAGTGATAAAGGCTCTGGTTCAAGTATTTGGTTGATCAATAAAGAACCCTAGGAGTTTCAGCCGATGGCCACGATTTTCTCTTGTACACACGGACGGATGTGATTCAGTTTGGAGATCATTGTTCATAATCTGGGCTGGGATTTACATTATCTGATGGGCTTTCAAAATTAGCATATATTTGGGTAGTAAGGACTTTACTATACCGAAGGTTAACGATCTGAATGTTAAATGTAAAATAGTTGAGACTTATCTTTAAATATATATCATTTTTAAAACAAATTGATGTAACGTCTTAAAATTTTGAGTCAATGCATGAGAATTGACCCGAGAGATATATAAACCTAAGAAAATTAACAATTAAAACCGCTGACCGAATGCGGACCTAATTTTATGTAAATTAGGCCTAATTAACCATAAAAAAGAATTTCTACATAAAAAATATACGAGGAATGATTAAAAGTGTAATTATATCATTGTTTAATTTAAGCTTCGCAACTCTAACAAAGATGTGACAAGTCTGACGAGTGTCCAAATTCTTGAGGAAAGGAAGAAAATAAGTGTAGCTGAGAAAAAGGTTTTATTTCGAGGTTCCAGCATTAAGGTGGTGTATTTTTATTTTTTGTGGTGTTAAATGATCTCACGAAACCTCCCTTAAGCTTTAAAAATCGATTTGAGTTTAAACTAGAGTGTTTTAGACGATTTAGAGTGATTCCCAAGCATAGAAATAGACATTTCTAAGTTTAGATATCGATACTTGATAGGAATATTAATAATAGATGAATTTGTGAAGAAATATGGATAAAATATACCTATAGCATCGATATTAATCTTGAGCGTATTGATATTCTTCATGTGATATCAATACCAAGGGTTGAATATCGGTTATTTGGTCGTTTTTTTCATTTATCTTGGTTATTCAAAAGAATACGTGGCATAAAGGCATAAGAAAATATGCATGCAGTGTGTTATGTTTTCATCTGCCTTTATGAAACGTTTTGATTTTTGGTATGTTTTCGGTTATTTGGTCATTTTTTTATATTTATCTTTTTCCAAGGGTTGATTTGACATCGTCACGACTGATCAGGATGACGCTTACCTAATATATTGTTGATCATTCCTGCTTTGGACCCTCAGATTGGATGTGGATACCCGATTTGCGCTTGTGGATAACTTTTCATATCACTCTTGAGTTTGATTTATGGTTTGTCAGTGGTCTTTCAATAGCTTGGTCCCCTTTTGTGTTTCGTTTGTCGATGCGATCAGTTCTGTTTGTATTTATATTTGTTCGAGTTTCTTGGTTAGATTTTTAATCTTTCTCTGTTTGGTCCTTATGTGATCTTAAGTTGTTAGTTTTGTTTTAATGATTATAGTAAAATTTCCTAATTATATGCTTAATTTAGGATTGCGATTGTAAATCTTTATTGTAATTTGGGATATTTCTTATTTTGAATAAAATTAATTGCTTCTATTAAAAAAAAGCTAAATCATCAAGGTGGGTGAACATTAGTAAAATAATGTGAACATAGGCGAATAAATGTTAAAGGAGTCGTGTATCACGTGAATATCGAAAAAACGATGATGTGTGATATGATATTGACTCCAATATTTAAAGTTTGACCCGAATAAAAAATCGACTAATATCATGTGTGATCTAACCTAAAGTTAATTGATCTGATATTATCTCGATCTGATATTTCACTTTACCCAATTTATCATACACCCAAACTAAATCTAAACCCAAAATGTCAAGTTGAAATCCAACCTAGATCGTATACAATCCAAACTCGAAATAATTCAACCTAAAATAATATAGCCTAAAACTTTACACAATTAAACTCAGATAATCAACCAGTTAAAAGCAAATAAATGCACTATTATTGACGAGTTGTCAAGAGAAACATTTAAGGTTCCCCTTCAATGGAAGTTCCTTAGTTCCCATAGTTCCCCCATGCTCCACATCCCATCTGCAAAACCATCACTAACCCAATCGCTCTCGGCCAAGTGGCAGTCGCCATCCATCATGAAATCCCCAACTGCTGACGTGGATGCCAAGTTGATGGTTTCCTTGTCATCATGTCCACCACTTCTATCCACATTATTAGCAACATAATAGCAATTCTTTGCAAGTGTGTTGTAGTCCTTGTTGCCATTGTCATCGTCAACCACTCACTTGTCGTCGATCTTCATCCATTTCCGACCACCCATTGATCGACCTGTCGTTACACCAATCCCCAAGAAACTCTTAATCCTAATACCCTAAACTGTAAATCCTCATTTTCCCCCCAAAATGTTGTATGCTTGTCTATATGCTCTCCCCTGCTTCGTTCTCCCATTTGCAGATGGAAGTAGTGAGACCTTCGTCTCTTACACCATCAAAGAGTAGATGGGTACGATGGGATTGTCCTTGACGATGAAGTTCACAAGATTAAGCTGTCTAAGAAATTAAAAGATTATCAAAATTGAAGCAATGTTCCTTGAAAAGTTATCCTTGAAGAAATAATATGAATTTGAGTATATGGTTGTGAACGTTAGTGAACCACGATAAAGACATTTAGGTGGCGTTTGGTTCGCAGGAATTAGGAGGAATTGGAATCCAATTCTACCACTTTCTCATGTTTAGTTCAAGTTTTCAAAGGGAATTGGAATCCTCATGACTTCAACTTTCCATTAAATGAGGGAAAGTGAATTACATCCATTTTATGATGGAATTCAATTCCCTTGTTAGAGGGAATTGAAATTTGACCATACTACCCTCATCAATCTTTTGGTAACTTATTCATATATTGAATAAAAACATTTTTTTATTATTTCGGGTCGGTTCGGGTTTCTAATTCATATATTCGGGTTGGGTCGGGTGAAACTTTATTTTGGTCGGGTCGGGTCGATTTTTTTAAGTGTGATATTCGGGTCGGGTTCGGGTTTAGGGTGAAAAATACCCGACCTGACCAGACCCGAAAATATATATAATTTTACCTTATATATTTAGGAATAATTATAATAATACTCATCTATATATAATTTTTTTCAATTAAGTCACTGTTTTTATTGAATAAAAATATTTTTTATTATTTTGGGTCGGGTCGGGTTCGGGTTTAGGGTGAAAAATACCCGACCCGACCTAAAAAATATATAATTTTACCTTATATATTTAGGAATAATTACAATAATACCCTTATATATATAATTTTTTTCAATTAAGTCACTGTTTTTATTGAATAAAAATATTTTTTTTATTATTTTGGGTCGGGTTTCTAATTCATATATTCGGGTCGGGTGAAACTTTATTTTGGTCGGGTCGGGTCTCGGATGGAGGTTCCCTTGTTCTCGGATCGGGTGGACCAAAAACCCAACCCAACTCGACCCATGGCCATCCCTAATTGGGATGATTTTAACTTATGATGTTTATTTGCATGATTTTTATAATTTATTGAAATGAATAATCAATCAATAAAATTAAATTTTAATATTTTTAAATTTTTATAATATATTGCTACATGTAATTTATAAAACAAACTAAAATTAAGCAAAAAAAAAAAAGAATGACAATCCTGTCATTTTACATTACTGAAATCAAATTCATCTGACATGTATGCGAACCAAACAGAATATGGAATTGGATTTCAATTCAATTTCCTGCCAACCAAACAGAATATGGAATTGGATTCCAATTCCTGACAGATTTCAATTCCTTCACAGATTCCAATTCCCTCAAAAACATTCCAGCGAACCAAACGCCACCTTAGGATTTTTAAAATAAGGGTAAACTACATAAATGGTCCCTACTATAGGACATTGTTTTACTGTTCTGCTTAACAAGATTTATAAAGATAATTAAAAATAAAAAGTAATGTAAACTATAGTCGAAGAAATGATCTCATCTATCTGGGTAGTGTAGTTGGTTATCACGCTAGTCTCACACATTAAAAGTCCCCGGTTTGAACCCGTTCTCATACAGTCTTTCAAGAGCATAACTAGAAATTTATTATAGTAAAAATTAAAACATCTTTTTATTTTCTATAAATACATTTTTTTAATTAAAGAGACATGATCAAAAATTATTTTTTAGAAAACATATATTTTGCTATTAATTAAGAATTAAAAAAATAATTAACGGGACCAAGGTTCCCCTTACCCCTCCGTGGTTCCACCCATTTGTCTCATGCTAAATTAATTTGATTATTATAATCAAAAATGAACAAGAATAAAAAAAAAATTAGAAGTTCAGTTTGTCCGCTATCTTTTTTTAAGCATTTTAGTCTCTAACGTTTTATTTTAAAGTAAAATGTCTTCTGGGTATACGAAAATCATCAGATAACTAACGATCAACACTTTCTATTGATGTGATAGGTTCATGTGTGATGCCATTAGAGGTGGGTATACGGGCTACCCGTCCGTTTAGCCCGCGGGTTTTGACGGTGCGGGCTTAAACGGAGCGGGCTAAAAAGCCCGCATTCATAAACGGTTTTGAATTTTAAGGCCCGCGGCCCGTCCATTTAACCTGCGGGCTAAACAGGCTTACCCGCGGCCCGTTTAATAAAAAATAATTTTAAATGCTTTAAATACAATAAAAAATAATGTTTTAACTTACTACACCTTTAAAAATGATCGAGCAACTTGAAAATGAAGGTAGCACTGTCAAAATAATAAATAATATTTAAATTTTATTTTAAATAGCTGGAAATGATTATAAAATAATATTTTTTTAATTTTTTAATCATTAATATATATATATATATATAATGATATAATTACTTAAACTCAAATTAAAAAAACAATATTCACTTATATCACCAAATTGAAAAACAAATAAAACAATAACCACATTATACTTTTATAAAACACGATTATTCAAGGCTATAATATGAATACACAGAAGTGTCTGAAAATAGAAATTCAAATATAAAAATTCAACAAAGTCAAACATTATACAAATCTAACAAGAAAGTTGTCAGGTGTTTTTAATAAGAGAAAATCGCCTCAGTGACCAAAAAAAAGTTATAATATACGATTTTAACCAACTTTTTTTTGGATTTGCCAA